TTGCCAAATTCTTTTGAAAAGGAAAATTAACTTTTCATTAAATTAGTTCAAGTACAAGACCCTATAGGGGTATGACACAGATTCCTAGTACGACAATAAATCTAAAGATCTTATGAGGTTATCAACCACCTCTCATATTACAAGGAAATTATGAAAAAGCCCCCAATTAATGGAAATGTTCTTGATTTCTTCTATTATTGTCAATTAAATAGCCTATTAACTCCATTGCCTTGGATTTTGGTTGCTCTTGGTTATCCTTCTTTGTACGTAATGACTTTTTGGTTTCTTATTTGAAAGAAAATGATCCCCACTCTTTTGTTACTGTACTAATGTATCACAATGAACTATTTATATTATTTTTCAGCAAAACTATATAATCTTGGCTGAGGCAGATATACGGCAACGACAGGAGGAAGACATCATGAGAGTATCCACTGTTCTTTCTATTTCAAAAGTTGCAGCTAGCATCCTGCTCCGATATTACAACTGGTATAAATCTATGACCTGTATGTAAACTACTTCAATATGGCTGATTCACATAATGGGCTCTACTGATGCGAAGTACATGTCATTTGTTTCTGTGTTGTAGTTATTAGACTACAATATAGTTCTTTAGTACCTTGCATAGCATGTCATGCACCTGATCCCACATCATGTTTTCTGTATTGATCTTGCTTTGCAGGAGTGTCAGTAAAGTGCATGATGAATGGTTTGCAGATGAAGAAAAGGTCCGTAGAGCTGTTGGCTTACTAGAAAAACCAGTTCTGCAATCTTCAAATGAACTAGAAGTAAGCAATCTCATATTTTTTAAGATTAATTGAGCTTCTTCAAATTGTTTTTTCATTAATAATTGCTTGGTAAAATTGAGAAATACATGGTGTTATGATATATACCTTATTTTTTGGCAGCTACCTTGTGGTATATGTTTCGAAATTTATTCACGTGATAAGATTCAGTCTGCTGCTTGTGGCCATCCATTTTGCAATACGTGTTGGACAGGTTTGCCAACTTATATAACAAGCCATTTTGGTCAACTACTCTATTATATTTACTTGGTTCTAGCTTGTCCTTTTTCTTGATTAAAAATAACAAATTGAAAGAAGGCTATAGAATAAGAGATTTATCTAGGGAGCTTTTTGGTTAGACTTCTTGTTAATTGAGATAACCTCTTGTGCCCCAGAAATCCTTGTGACTCTTATATGGCCTTAGAAAGATGGATTGAGGCTTTAAATTTGGAATTGGTAAGATTGCAAAAGGAAATGGTTTCTTTCATAGAGGGTCGGGTTAAAAGAAAGTTGGTGCTGCAATTCGAATGGAAGAAGGAGTTAGCTGATGGCTATGCTTAATGTTTTGCAAAATAAGAGATTTATCTAACCTATAATATTTTGCTATTTAACTCAGCCATCATCCTACAAGGTGAAAGCAGGATATTAAATTTTTGTCAACATGGCGCTATTTCCATCTATCTATTGGGTTCGACATCGACGTAAGGGGTGAATCGACATTTCCATAGTATTGCATTAAAAATTGACAAAAAATAAAAAAAATATCAATAAAATAGCACTAATATGGACATAATATTAATATTAATAATTTTTAACTTATTTTAAAAGTGAAATATTTGTTATGAATTCTTTATTTTTAAAAATTTTCCAATATTTTCATCGACATTTTCATAAAATTGAGACATCAACATTTTCATTGATATTGACATTGACATTGACATTTAGACTTTGGCTGAAAGAAGTACTTTGCACTTCCCTGGGGGTTGAGGATCATGCTGGGAATATCATTAGGGTAATTAAACAAGGAGTTGGTCATAAATAGAGTGAACGGGAAAATGAAGGTAGCAATATTGTGTATTGTGTTTCTATAACGACTTTATTGAGTAGTTGAGTGAGCACCACAGTAGCTTTAGTAGTTGAGTGAGCGCACCACAGTAGCCTAATAGGAGGACATCTGGGGGAGTTGAAGACGTACAAAAGATTAGCAGTTGATCTATATTGGGATGTGCAAGTCGGTCAAGGAATTAGTGGCTAATTGCAAAACATGCCAAAGAGACAAATAGGAGATGTTATCATCGGTGGGATTGCTACAACCATTACTAGTGCAGGACCTTCCAAGAGAGGACATCTCCATGGACTTCATGGGGGGTTGCCAAAGTTGGAGGGGAAGGATACCTTACTAGTGGTGGTGGAGTGCTTGACTAAATATGCTCACTCTATATTGCTCAAGCACCTGTTTATAGCACAGTTTGTGGCAGAAGCATTTGTGAGAGAAGTAGTATGACTGCATGAGATTCTGCAATCCATAATCTCAAATAGAGATAAGGTATTTGGAAGTTTGTTTTGGCAAGCAGTTGCGGGGGACAAAATAAAAAAGAAGCACGGTATACCACCCACAGACGGATGGGCAAATCGAGGTGGTTAATTGGGGAGTGGAGACAATATTTGCTATGTTTTGCATTTGATAAACCGAAAGTATGGACTAGATGGATTGCTTGGGCTGAGTACTGTTACAACACTTCCTTTCATGTTTCTAGCAAAATCACACCTTTCCAACTCCTATATGGGTGGGTTCCTCCATCCATGCTACAGTACAATTGGGGCACCTCCCCAATCTCAACAATGGATCAATGTCTGTGGAAGCGGGATGCCATGTTAGATGATCTATGAGTACAACGAGTGAGGTCCCCACAATTGATGAAAGTCCTTGCTGATCTACACTGTCGAGATGTGGATTTCCAAGTGGGAGAGCAAGTGTGGCTAAATTTACGGCCCTATAGGCAATGTTATGTGACAATTGAAAGAATGAAAAATTAGCCCTGCCCCTTGATTCTATGTCCACTTTGAGATTAGAGAGAAGATAGGAAAAGTGGCTTACCGCCTCGAGTTGCCCACCACGTCGATGATCCACCCTGTCTTCCATGTGTCTCAATTGAAAAAGGTAAGTGGGGAGTCTAGATCAACCCCTTTTTACTAGTGAGTCTTACATCCGACCTTAGTTTGAATCTCAAAACAATTAAAATTTTGGGGGTTGCTCGATATTGGATAGCATAAAGGAGAAAAAGAGGTCTTAATTTAGTGGGAAGGATTGACAACAAAAGAAGCTTAATGGGAATCTTATAATTGGATCACGGAGCAATTCCCTTCGACCTTGAGAACAAGGTGAAAGTTTATGTGGAGGTTGATAGAGAAGAGGAGTGCGTGTGGGAGTGTGTGTCATGGGTGGTTGGGAGACTCTGCATTAAAAACAAGGCTCCCCTCCTTATTTCAAGTCTTGTCTACTCCTCTTATAACTGTTTTAGATTCTTGGGATCAAAGTACTGCATATTGGTAGGTTGAGATACCCGTCGTCGGCTGAAGGACAACAAAATCAAGGAGTTTATGGCCTTAATTTCCAGTATGAATTTGTTTTCTCTCAAGGATGGGGAAGATCAAAAAGGTTGGTTGGAATTTTCTAAAGTTTTCTCGGTAAGATCGTTTTGCAAGCAATTGATTCATATGCTCCTTTGCCAAAAGAGTATGATGCTGCTCTTTGAAAATTCAAAAGTCAAAAAGAAAGATAATGTTTTTGTTTGGATTCTTCTTCTTGGTAAAGTAAATACGGTTGAAGTACTCCAAAAGAAGCTTCCTTCAATGGTCTTCCAGCCGTTCATTTGTATCTTATGCCCTAATTCTTGTGAAACCCAGCAGCATACCTTCTTCCACAGCCCTTATGCTTTGGTTTGTTGGAGGCTCTTATTCGAGATTTTTAATATTTCGTGGGCTTTCGAGTTAGATGTTTTGGCAAATTTTAATTTTCTGCTGTTTGGTCCAGTTTTAACCCTAAAGCAAGTCTTCTTTGGCGTAATGGTGTTAAAGTGGTGTTGTTTGATCTATGGTTCGAAAGTAATCAAAGGATCTTTGAAGGGAAAAGTAAATCTCGAGTTGAATGCTTCAACCTCACCAAGTTCAAGGCCTCACAATGGTGTGTTCTTTCTAATTTGTTTGCTAATTATTATCCTAATATGATTTTAGAATTGGGAGGCCTTTATTAACTCCCCCTTTAAGTTTTTGTCTTGCTCTATTCTTTTGGTGTTTGTTTCTTTTCATTGCTCTCACTCTGTATTGTCAAACATTTATGTTCCCTTTTCATTTATTAATGAAAAGTTCGTTTCTTGTTAAAAAGAAAGCGCCAAGCAGGAATACCAAAAATATTCAAACCTTTTTTTATTAAAGAAGAACGCAAAGGGCTCTAAAACACAGGGAAGTTTGCATTTCAATTCTGTAGCAAACCATCCAATGCTTCATCTTCAGATGCATAAAATAGACCAACGCAAATAGATACCAAAAAGTTCTTTCTTTAATGAAAAATCTCAAATGTACATATCTAACCCAAAAGCCGAAGAAGCTGCTCATGAACCAATATAAATTATAGGAAACAACCTTTGCTTTCATGGATAATAGATCAGAAAGGAAAAAAGACTTATTTACAAAGTTTAGAGTTGAAATTCTCTTAATACTTGAGAGAAGAAATAATTTTTTCCCTTGGATTGAGTTTTAGCATTTAGGTTGTCTTATCTATTGTGATAAAGTTCTCTTTTTATTGATCACTCTCTCTCTTGGTGTGTGTTGTAGGTTATATTAGCACATCTATCAATGATGGTCCAGGATGTCTTATGTTGCGATGTCCAGATCCATCTTGTGGTGCTGCTGTTGGTCAAGATATGATAAATTTATTAGCTTCTGATGACGACAAAAAGAAATACTTCCGCTATTTTGTTCGATCCTATGTTGAAGACAATAGAAAGGTTTTTTGCAATTTTAACTTTGTTTGCTTCCAAATATTTTTCTGATTCCAAGACATACAAATTACTTAAATAATGGCAAGTCCTGCATTGAAAGTTTATTCTTGTATCTGAATGAAAGACAAAGCAATCAATATCATTATATAGCTAAAAGGTAGATTAGATCAATGTAAATGTTTGTGTGTACATGAAGTGTTTTCATGCTTTCAACTTCTGTTGCATTCGGATGATAAATTGTACGTGTAAAACATATAACAACCAACTGCTCACAATGGAAAAATGTCCAACTGGAGAAACAAAAAATGACAAATTATTTTCCTAATTTTTAGTATCAACTTTTGTATGAATGTGATGAAAGAATTGCAAGGATCTTCCTCAACTTCAAATTTTCGAAGGCATTCAAACAAGCTCTCTGCACTAATAGAAAAAAAATAATAAAAAATCATGCACTTAATTTCAAAATGAGCTATTACTTCTTTTAATTTTCATCTGATTACAGATTTTTATTTGAAAAGCATCATAAATTATTTTAAGAAAAATAACATCATAAATATTGCTGCTCCTGCTCAATGAACATGTTTCCATTTTATATCTGATGTATGGTAATTGTTCAGTTAGGTTAAACGTTTTCTTCCGAAGTTGGTGTTCATATTAGGCATAGTTAATGTCAACTTATGGTTTCTTTGTAGACCAAATGGTGCCCTGCTCCAGGATGTGATTATGCTGTAGATTTTATAGTTGGAAGTGGAAGCTATGATGTTACTTGCAGATGCTCCTATAGCTTTTGCTGGAATGTGAGTCAGCTCTAAGTTTCCTTGTCTAAATACTTTGTAATTTCAGTTCTGCAATCTACTTTGATTGGGGTAGTTCTTTTTGTAACTTCTGTTTTTTCTCTGGGAACTTGTGTATTGAAACTTTTCACTCATCAATGGGAAGTGTGTTTCCTTATAAAAGATTCTATGATTTTATTTTTCATTCTAAAATTACACAAAATATGACGTTTTGCAGTGTACTGAGGAAGCTCATCGTCCTGTTGATTGTGGCACTGTAGCTAAATGGATACTGAAGAATAGTGCTGAGTCAGAAAATATGAACTGGTATATAATTTAATAATAACAATTTAGGCATACTGTTCAATTTCATAATCAATTGGTGGCTATTGGAAACTTCTTGAACTTAATACAATGAAGAATGTTATTCTGAAGGTAATCAGATGCTTGAGATGAATTTCTGTTTCTTATCAGGCAAAAAAAAAAAAACAAAAACAAAAAAGAACGAATGCATGAGATGAAAAGAATAATATCTATATAGATAGGGCTGAGATCATTCCATCCTTTTTTTTTAATTCAGATCTCATATTTGTTATTTTCTCATGTTATCAATGGTATCTTTTGTCTTTAGGGTTTTAGGAGTCTGGAATCCTTTGGCCTGTTGGGTCAAATTTTATTATTATTTTTATGATAATGCATTTCTTTTCTTTTTTCTTATTTATTTATTTTTTTAATATTCTCAATTGTTTTAGCTATTTCTTATCATTTCTTTTTGGTGGCTTCACTGTGCTTTTGGGCTGTGTTTTGTCATATTTCATTCTTTCTCAATGAAAGTGGCTTTTTCTTTTTAGAAAATTAATGATTCAATCATTTTAGTTAATTTAAAATTTAATGATATTTGAGTTATGATTTTAGTTTCTATCACCCCTAATATATAAAGTGAACGTACATATCGATTAAAATAAAGTGGAAAGGGAAATAAGAGAATCTTTAGTTGTTGCTAAACTATAGATGGTATACACTATGTAGGTTGTGAAAAAATTATGTTGCTCAAAATTCTTTGCGTGCCTCCCTACCCATCTTGATATTTTGAGTCTAATCGGACAGGGGATAGGAAGTTGCTCATTTGCCGCATGACTTCTTGTATGATTGAGGTAGATGTAAACTTCAAGTTTCCATTATGAAAGAAAAATTGAAAAAGTTTGTTTTCCAAATGGTCCTCCATAATCACCTCTCGGCTCCCAGCTATCCTAAAAAAGGTTATGTAAATTTGGAGCCTTGTTTCTATCAGACCCCAAAATCCACCTCGATCATCTCCTCTTGAAGAAGGATTTTCAAGGACATTATTTTTTTTTCATGCCTTTATACTTGATAGTTTATAAAGGAAATTGATATTTGATACAATTGCTTTAAGTTTGTTCTTTTACATAATTGCTTGACCTTTATTATATATTTGTTCTTTAATTAAAAGTACCTGTTTCTTACCAGGAAATAGTGATCACTACATCGCTAGAAGTACTGTTAACATTTTAATGGTGTCTTCTTCCATTACCATAAATATTCCTTTACTGATTTCAGGATATTGGCAAATTCAAAACCTTGTCCAAAATGCAAACGACCTATTGAGAAAAATCAAGGATGCATGCATATTACTTGCACACCACCCTGTAAATTTGAGTTCTGCTGGTAATTTTGCCTCTCTCAAATTTTTTCTTTTATTATTTATTTTCATTTATTTTAATTTTTTACTTCTCTTTATTTTGAATTTTGTTACATAGCATATCTTGTTCACAGTTAAATTGTTTTTCTTCCTTCTTGAAAGTTCCCTTATTAGAAGGAAAAAAAGTTATCAAATCGCTAATAGTATTTTTATTACTTAATTTATAATTTATAATTTTTTTAATTTCACAGGCTTTGCCTTGGTCCATGGTCTGATCATGGAGAGAGGACAGGAGGATTTTATGCATGTAATCGCTATGAAACTGCAAAGCAAGAGGGAGTGGTATTGTTATAGACTTTATTTGTGTTGAATCATTAACATTTTCTTTATGTTACTCATTTTTGTTTAGTGGTGTTCTTTATGGTTTTCTTCTCCTTCCTGTTCATCAGTATGATGATGCTGAAAAGCGCAGGGAGATGGCCAAGAATTCTCTGGAGAGGTATACTCATTATTATGAAAGATGGGCTACCAACCAATCGGTATGCTTTCTTTTTCCTGCTCACAACAGAATAATACTCCTATGGATTTTTTTTTTTAACTTTTGTTCTTGTGGTTGGACTTTTTACAATGTAGTGATAACGCAATTTAGAGTTATCTTGGTCATAAGAGCTTACCTTGATTTGTAATGATATATAACCTGGATGTACTAGATCTTGTGATTCTATTTAGTTGTTTCTTTAATCTCCTTGAGAAATCCTTGAATCTCAATAAAACTCTTCCTCTGAGAACACCTCCGAATTCATCCAAAATAGGAACCCTCAAGCCATCTCTTTATATGTAGTAGGTGGTGGATGGAATATTTATAGATGCAAGAACTGACATATACAGTTCTGTAAAGTTCCTTCTTTTAATATCTAAGTGTTCGGGCCAAGTCGTGCACCTCTAGATTAATTCACGGAACAACTGTCTGACCTTACTACATTTGGTTGCCACAAAAACTCGGAAGAGTTCTTAGATACGTGGATACTATAGTTTAAACTCATCCCGTGTAAGCCCCCTACTTTTTCACTAGCCCCAACGAGTCTGATGGGCCAACTATAGAAAATCTTTCTTTTTCTTGTAAAAGGAACGTGCAATTTTTTTCTTTTTGATAGGAACTAGAATTTTTTGTTGCAAATTTTCAATAAATTATTTGGTTTAATTCGGTGCTTGGCCTCTTGTGGAGAATTTGGTTTCCATAAGGATTTTTGGGATAGGGATATTGTGTGATTGCACTCTTCGAATTGGTGTTTACTGAGGTAAGGAAAATGATCTCTTCTCTCCTAGGTTTTCTACTTCATTAGCATCAGTTTGTCAAGTTCAATCTAGATCAGAGTTTGTTTACTTCTTCAGGTAGAATTGCCTCTTCAAGATTGATTTTTGTTCTATCGTCTCAAGGGTAGTCCTTTATTTTCAGAAGTATCATGGAGATCAATAGTTGTATTGAAAATAAACACTTTTGCATTTGGAAGAAAAATCACCTGTTTTTTTTGTCGGAGATATGATCTCAACCTCTTCAAGAGGAATTTAATTTACTTTTTGCAGAGGATAAATTACACTCTTTTACAAAAATGGATTTTTATTCCTTCTCTTCCTCGAGAACAGACTATGGTAGTCGAAAAAGCTTCTTGTGCAGATAATCAAAGTTTTCTTAAATTTTTTGAAGATGTTGCCCTTACCCTAGTTCCAATCACTGAATAGGTAGGCTTTAATTATGGGCAACGGGTTTTTGATTGGTTCCACTTTGCAGCAGTTTTGAGGGTTGAGATATTATCGCTTTTGTGTCTTCTCTTGGTGGAGGGAGGTTTCAGTTTCTTTTCTTCTGGCGATTAGCTTGTGTTAAGTGAGGTTTTGGTTTCCTCCTCTGCGGTCTATCCTTTTGAATTGGCGAGCTTTATTGATAACAGTATTCAACATTTGTTCTTGGGTTTCAGATCTCATCTATTTCATGAGATTTTGGTTTTTATGTTCTGTTTGTTTTTGTTTTTTTTTTCGCTTTCTTCGGGAGCTTGTATCCTTGAACTTTTTTTCTTCATTTTCATATTATCAATGAAAAGTTTGTTTCTTTGTTAAAAAAAAAAACTTCCATTTAATGTGGTTTGAGAAATTACTAGTTGAAATGATGAATCACCCATTCAATCGTCTATTTTTAGCAAATTAGAGACTCTTGGAGTGCTTGTCGAATTCAGAAGATAAAATGAATCTCAGTTGTCACATTGAATGTGTTGTATGACCTATCCCTGGTGGGAGAAAGAGTGTTATAGTTCCCGTTGGTTGTAATAAGGAATGATGACTTAATTTTTGGGATATGCTAATAAAGAAGGATGACTTGCTTTAGGGGACATGCTAAAAGTTTGTTTGTCTAGATATGATAAGTTTTTGTTGAAAGAATAAAGAGAGTTCTTAAAGGATAAAATTCTTTCATCTGGACATCTAAGATATCCTATGCAGAATTAGAAATGAAAGGATGCAGAGTGGAAAAGAAATCTAGAAAGGAAGACGATAGCTTTTTGGGTCAGAAAAGAGCATGAAGTTTGAAGTTTCAGACATTTATTGGAAAAACATTAGGGTAATCACTTAGTTGAAATGTTGAATGCCCTTGACAATTGGAAGGAAATTGCCAGCACTCTAGAATCAAAGTTTTCTCAATCGTGTTTCATTAACCCCTTCTTGGGTGACAAAGCAGCCCTTATGAAATTTTAAGATGGAAAATTGCTAAGTAAAATTGATAGAAATAGAAAATAGAAAAGCATTGAATTAAAGAAAAGGTGTATCAGGATAAAGAAAAGGTTTATTTTGGTAAGGTGGGGACTACACTAGAATTAATTCTGTTAAGGACAACGGTACCCCAAGTATCTCCACAATGGTATGATATGTCCGCTTTGGGCATAGCCTCATGGCTTTGCTTTTGGTTTCACCCAAAATGCCTCATACTAATGAAGATAATTTTCCTTCCTTATATATCATGGATCACTTTCTTCTCTAGCCAACGTGGGATTTTGTTTGCATTACAAATACAAACCCAACAATCCTCCCCTCGGATAAAGTGCCACTTGTATCTTGCCTCAAATAGTCATGCACTCATCTCCTTCCGGCATGGAATGGGAGCCCACTTCTATCCGACACTTCTAGATAGCTCACTTGCTACACGGACCAACATTGTGGGAACACCAGGTGTCGATATATCGCACCCTCAATCTCCTCCCCTTGAACAAAGCTACACCACTCTTCCTATCAGTCCACTCGACTGTGATAGGCTTTCTACCAATCTACCTCGACTTAATAGGACATGTCTTGCTCGTCACCGAGCACAGAGCACGTCTTTGCTCGTCACCTCGAGCACTTTTTGTTCGATTTTGAGAACCATCCACAAGTTCCGTATTGACTATTAAGCTTACCAATCACTTTTATTCGACCCCCGAGGATTCCTCCCACACAGCTAGACTTTTTTACCATGGTTCTGATACCACTTGTTAAGGACAACGGTACCCCAAGTATCTCCACAATGGTATGATATTGTCGGCTAGACTTTGCTTTTTTACCAGCTAGACTTTGCTTTTGGTTTCACCCAAAAGGCCTCATACCAATGGAGATAATCGTCCTTCCTTATATACCATGGATCACTTTCTTCTCTAACCAATGTGGGACTTTGTTTGCACTCCTTACAAACCCAACATAAACGAACAACAATTTCATGAGGGAATGAAGAGGTATCTTCCTATAAGTTAGTGGTTGCCCGTGCATTAAATGAAAAGCAACTGATTGCTCATAGTTTCCACGAGAAGCCTTCGGAAGTGAGCAGGTTATTAAAGGACTGCATGATCAATGAAAGAGCATTAAACGCCATTGGCCTACATGACTCCCTTCCACTAAATCAGAGACCTTCTTTTAAGATAACAAAAAGCTGCCTGAAATTTTAGATGAAATTCTTCTAGAAGATACTTCTCCGCTTCCCGAGAGTGTTAGACAATAAAAAAAACTCTTTCAACCAAGCATATCCTGTCTTCCATACTCTTCTATACTAGAAAAAAAGGTCTGAATGTTACATTTGCTCCGTCTTTAGCAAATAATCTTGGCATGGACATCCAACATTCAGATTTCATCGAGGAAAAGTGTTTGAGTTTATTATGCTTTCCTAATGTGGAAAGTAAGTCCATCGCCAACAATGTGGTGGATGAACATTTAATGCCCAAGTCTCAATTACTTTGTTTTATAGTATTTATATTATTATATTTTGTATTTTTAAATATCGTAGTTATTTGTCTTTTATCGTCCTTTTACCTTCTTTACTTTAGATCAACCTTGTATATTTGTCTATATATTCTTTAGTGAATGAAATTGAGATAATTTGATTTGTGATCCTTTAGTCTTTACATGGTATTAGAACATTACATGGCATAAAAACGCTGTCTTTCCCTGGGGCAATTAGGATTTTGTGAACCTTAGGATTTTTTTGAACTTTGTGAGCCTCTAGGGTTTAAAGTTTGGAACACTTTCTTATAAGTGTTTGGTAGTTTGTACTAGACCTGCGGCCACTACCGTTGTCACCATCTCTGCTGTCGATGCTGCTATTGTCGTCATCACCTAGACATCACGAATCAAAGCTGCTAGAACCATTCTTAGCAATTGTCTTTACAATCGTTCGTGGCATCAGTTGCTTGTCTTTCGCCTTTCAAATTCCACTGTGTCTTCCTTCACCACGGTACAGTTCTACCGTTCATGGCTTTCCTTCTACTGTTTGTTCCTCTAGGGTTTGGATCGAGATAGGAAGTATCTACTTTGGGTCTATATATTCTTTAGTGAATGAAATTGAGATAATTTGATTTGAGATCCTTTAGTTTTGACATGGTATAAGAACATTACATGGTATAAAAACGCAGTCTTTCCCTAGGGCAATTTGGATTTTGTGAATCTTAGGATTTTTTTGAACTTTGTGAGCCTCTAGGGTTTAAGGTTTGGAACACTTTCTTATAAGTGTTTGGTAGTCTGTACTGGCCCCGCGGCCACTACTGTTGTCACCATCGCTGCTGTTGATGTTGCTATTGTCGTCATCACCTAGCCATCACGAATCGAAGCTGCTAGAACCCTAGCGTCATTCATGATCTCATTCTTAGCAATTGTCTTTACAATCGTTCGTGGCATCAGTTGCTTGTCTTTCGCCTTTCAAATTCCACTTGTGTCTTCCTTCACCGTCGGACAGTTCTATCGTTCATGGCTTTCCTTCTGCTGTTTGTTCCTCTAGGGTTTGGATCAAGATAGGAAGTATCTACTTGGTCCGGTTCGATTTGGTTTGCTCTGGTTTGGTTTGGTTTTTTATCTGATTTAATTTGGCTCAGTTCTGAATTTGTGTCCTTATTGTTGAGGATAAGGCTGAGAAGAAATCAGTGGTGACATTCGAGATAGTTTCGATGATGTAAAAATTCAAAAATGTAATTTGAATGGATCCAACTACTATGCATGGAGAACAAATGTTCGACATTTGGACGGAGCATTGATATGGACGATCATATCACTGAAGATCCTCCAATTGATGGCAGCATAGGAAGTACTAACCCTTCATTTTTTATGGAGTGTCCATGTCGCACGTGTCGGAACCGGATACGTCCGGACAAGCTCTGAAGACATTTTCAACATGCGAAAAACCGTGTCCTCTTTTCTGTTTTTTATAATATTGGACATGTGATGAACACACCTTTCAACATGCGAAGGACACGCCCGAACACGCCTAGCCACGGACACGACCATTTAAAAAAAACAAATGAAAACGAGCCCAGCCCTAGCCCATCAAGCCTTTATTATAAAAACGAAAAAAAATTGTAATTTTTTAAAAAAGCCCCAACTCGTCGAATAAGAAAAACTCTCTCCCCCTGACAATTGTGCTCTCTCTTACCTTGCCTCCCACGACCAGAGCTGCCTCCCTTTGTGCCGCCGCCACCGACCAACATTGCTGCAGCACCGTCGCCAACCAACTAAGTTGTTAGTGCTCGCCTTTATGTGAAAAGAAAAATTGAAGAAGAGAAGAATTGGAAGAAAACGAAGAAAAATAAAGAAGAGGAAGAAAATTTTGGAAGAATAATCCAAGAGAACAGTAGTTGGAAACAGGAAAAAATAAAGAAGAGGAAGAAGAGTTTGGAAGAATAATCCGAGAGAAGAGTAGTTGAATGGAGTTTTTTTTTTCCTTTTATATTTGTTATAAATATTTTTTTGTATGGTTAATTTATTTAGAAATATTATTACGTCAAAAAATTTTTAAAAAAATGTGTCCCCAGTGTGTCCGTGTCCTACAATTTTAGAAATTGGCGTGTTGTCGTGCCTGTGTCGTGTCATGCCCATGTCCGTGTCCATGCCCATGTCCGTGTCCATGCCCATGTCCGTGTCCATGCTTCTTAGATGACTGGAGGATCAAATCCATAATTTAATTGAGTGAGATCATTGGCCCGATTAATCATTGCGCATCTATTAGAGAATTACTTGAAAATTTGGCATCCATTCATTATGGGAAAGGAAACATCAATAGAATGTTTGAAATATGTAAGGCCTTCTGGCTTCTACCAAACCTAAGATGGGAGAGAAATCTCTCACGAGTTATTTTATGGAGTGCAAAAGAATCTAGGTAGAATTTAATGGGTTGCTACCAGTCAGTACTAATGTAAAAGTACCACTTTCCCAATGAGAACAATTTGCAATTATGAGATTTCTAGTTTGTCTACCACCTCGATTTCATATGACCAAATATCAAGTGCTCTCTATTTCAAAATCTCATCGTTGGAGGAGGCATATTTGCATGAGATTTCAACTTAGTTGCTACCAAAGATCAAGGCCAAAGAAGAGAACTCTTTTATACATATTTCAAGTCAAGTACATATTTCTCTTTGACAAAAGAATTTTCTTCTTGCTTCTTATTACCTCAATTCTCAAGAAGTATTTCAACGTTCCCAAATATTTTGTATGGAATTGACTATGAAGAAAAGTCTTAAGAGACAGGATACCTCATGTATCATTATCAATCATAAATAATATCATCAACATATACCACTAGTAAGATGACACCAGCTAAGAAGCACAAACATTCGGTTTTTTATAATGTGTCCGTTTGAAACTTCGATACTTCGACACTTATCGGTCACTTGTTAGCTCAATGGATGTGTGTCACACACTAGTAGAACAAAGTGAATAGGTCCAATACTTGTTAGACACGTATCAAACGCTTGTTAAGCATAAGAAATAGAGTAAATAGTAATTTAGGACAAATAATAAACTTTGAGAGACAGAGAGACCATAGAGATTGTTCTTCTTATCTCTATGTTAGCTGACCAGGTTGTGAGTTTGAGTGCTACGAATGTTGGGGGGGGGGTGCGGGTGGGCTTTCTCTTGTGAGTTGTTTTACCACTTTTTATGTGATATGTCTACCTGTGAAAGTCCCAAACAAGGTTAGGGCCTTTGTTTGACAGGTCTTACTTGGTAGAGTGAACACCTTGGATCGTGTCTTCAGGCATTCTTTGCTAGTGATGAGGCCGTATTGGTGTGTTTTGTGCAAAGAGGATGTTGAGGGCCCGAACCACATCTTATGGAATTGTCAGGATGCACAGACTATTTGGGATTGCTTTTTTCAGTTGTTCCAGCTTAGTTGGGCCAGACCTAGTGGCTGCTGAGATATGTCATTAACCCCTCTTTTTGTGATAAGCATCGTGTTCTTTGGCAGGCAGGTCTTTTCACGATGATCTAGGCTCTTTGGTTGGAAATGAATAACAGGATTTTCAAGGATTTTAAGAGGTCTCCCAAGATGGAGTGATATTTAGCTAGGTTTAATGCCCCTGTTTGCGTGTGAGTCCACTAAGGAATTTTGTTTGTACTCTGTAGGTCTTATTTCTTTGAATTGGAGTCCTTTCTTGTATGGTTAACCTTCGGACTCCATTTGTGGGCTGACTTTTTGTATGCTCCTTGGCTTTAGGCTTCTTTGCCCCTTATGTATTTATTCTGAAAGTCAATCTTAAATATGATTCCTTCCATTTTCTTAACCCAATGCCTTTCTAAAGCCTCATTAGCTATTAAAATCTAATCAAAGATTTGTCCTCCACTCACAAAAGGCCGCTTGAGATAAGGAAATGGTGTTGGGGAGTACCCTTTTAATTGTTTCCGTCTAAGTTTTAGATATGATCTTATAAAGGCTAGTAACCAAACTAATTTGTCTAAAATCCTTGATTTTCCTAGCATCAAAAAATAAGCATTTTGTTCATGGCCGCATGCACCACATCTCTCATATAATTCATTAAGAACCCAAAACAAGTTATCTTTTAATCAGTCCAAACTATCTTGAAAGAACTTCAAAGAAAAACCATCCACTCCAAGAGCCTTAACCCATCACAACTAACACTGCTGCCTTTTTTAAGTTGGGTCCCCTTTCTTTTCTTCTTCTGCTTGCTTTCCTCCTTTTTTTCTTTCCTTTTTTGTCTTTTAGTTTATTCCAGCTGACGTAACAGTCCTAACGTGTACTACCGTACCAACTTTATGAATATGCTGCAAGATTCCCTTTTCTACTTCAGCCTTTCACCTACGCTAACGATAGCATTATCCTCAACTCAACTCTCTACCTTTTACCAATGCTATTACAGTGTGCTATAGCATTTAGCTCCTAGTACTTGCTAGCTCCCTTTGAATAGCGTTCAACATAATAATTCTGATCTTAATGCTGAAACTTAACTAACTAATATGTAACGTAGGTTGAAGCAAAAAATGGCAAGAGACACCTCAGAAAACCTATTTTTGAGATAGGTTTTAGTTTAAATTAAAAGGTATAGTTATCAACAACATTTTAGGGACTTTTCTAAAATAAGATATCCAACATCATTTACCAAGCTCAGTTTCTTTGAGTTATGAATCACTAGTGGGTGGTTATCTTTTAAATCAAGGTTTACCATCAAATTTTTTTAGTGGTTTCTTTGCTTGTTGGCACATTGAAGCTAACAATAGCAAGAGAGACCTCAGAAAACCTATTTTTACGATAGGTTTTAGTTTAAATGAAAAGGTAGAGTTATCAACATTTAACAACGTTTAGGGACTTTCTGTAAAATAAGATATCCAACATAGCCGTTCCTTTTGATATATTTTTTGATAGAGTTATATTACTAGCTCTTGGTTGGTGTAAATGTTTCTACGCCCTTTAACAGTTATTCCCTAAATGCGCTTATTACAAGTTGGTAAGCTTTCTTGTAATTGCCTATATGACTTTTTTGTATATTTCATACCATCAATGAAATATTGTTTCTCATAAAAAAAAAAAAAAAGATATCCAACATCATATACCAAGCTCAGTTTCTCTCTGTTATGAATAACTTGTGGGTGGTCGGCTTTTATTTCAAAGTTTCCTATCAATGTTTTTAGTGGTTTCTTTGCTTAGCATATTGAGTTGTTCATTGATGAAAAGATTGTAGTTTCAATTCCTCAGTGTTTTTCTGCATAATTGAACTCACTATGAAGCACCAAAACTCATGATGAACTCTCTATGCATAATTGAACTCGGGAGCTAAACCATGCTTCATAACTGCAGTCTAGGCAAAAGGCACTTGCAGATCTCCATCAAATGCAAACTGTGCATGTAAGTTGATGCACTCTCACTAATTTGGATTGGTTGGGCTATTGTTTTCTTAAATGATTTTAGACGTGGAATTCTTATATTTTATTTATCTCAACCACTTGTCCACATGTTTTTGTGCTAACAGATGGGCATGCCAATTTATCTCACTTATATTTCAATCTCTATTTGTTGGGACATTGTTGGTTTCTTCTTTTCTTTGTCTAAATGCCTATAGATTTAATTTTCTATAATATCTAACTATGTTCCAATTATCTTCAGCATATAAAGGAAAAACATATCGAGCAAGTTCATGTTTCTCACTCAAATATCATTTTGCTCAAATTTTTTTCCCATGTTCATGTGTCCAAATATTAAAAATTAATTATGATCGATGTTGGACTGTTTGGAGTATGACGATTGTTGTAGTGCTTGTATTATTATATATTGTATTATTGTAAACATCTTAGTTATTTGTATATTATCATTCTTTTATATTATCTTAGGTCAAGCTTGTATACTTGTCCATATATGTAATTTAGTGAATGGAATAGAGATAATATGATTCTCTCAAACCTTTAGTCTTTACATGGTATCATAGTTCTAGATTTCTTCCGAGGGCAATTAGAATTTTGTGAACTTTGTGAGCCTTTAGTATTTGAAGTTGGAACACTTAAAACCTTTAGGGGCCATTTGGTGGAAGGTTTTAAAAAATAGCCTGAGATTAAGATGTTACATTTTTAATAAAAAAATGAAGTATATACTTAAATAAATTAATTTATTACAATAGAATTAATTAATTTAATACATTATTAGTAAAAATTTAATGTTGTTTTATTAATTGTAAATTTATTTTAAATATTTTAACTAGATTTATTTAATTAATTTTCATAAAATAAAGTAAATAATTACATTAAAGAAAACAATTGATTGATAAACAGGGGAGAGAGGTATGACACAAAACTCATGGTCAAACCCATGAAAATGGGAGGGTAAAGAAAGTCCTTGTCCATGGGAATAAAGGATGCCTGGGAATAGCTTATCCCCAGGCAAAGTGTTCAAATCTATGTAATAAACACGGATTTTACTTACCCATGCCCATTCCCACCACTAAACCCCCAACCAAACCGTTCCTTAGTGGTTGAAGTTGAAACACTTTGAGAAAGTGTTGTTTAGTATTGTGAATCTAATATCGCAATGGCCTTTAAAAACTCTAGCCACCACCCTTTTTTTTATAAGAGACAAAGAAGGTATAATAGAAACAAGCCCCAAAAAAGGGAAAGACAACCTTAAGGCGGAGGGTAGAGAAAATCCTCCCCAAAAGACTATACAATCGCTGATTTCCAATCTTTCATAATCAAAACCCTTCCCAAAGAAGGTAATCAAAAGCCACCACCCTTACCTTTAAACCTAACCACCACTATCGCCGTTGTTGGAACCCTAGCCGCCACCATCCAAGAATGATGCACCCTACATTCCCGCTGCCATCTGATGCACCCTACATTCGGCAAGGTATGTTCACTATTTTGGCACCATACTTTGTTTGTTTGCACTCACCTTATCTGCAAGTCCAAGTCCACATCCTCTCACAAGTTTGTTGGTTCACACTCCCCTTCACTACATTGTCGTGCAAAAGTTTGTGGTAGTGTTGCTTGCGATTCTACGCTCGCATTCCTATTTTGACCTTGCTATTCATTCGCACTTTCATTGGGTTGTAGCTCCATCATGAATCTTAGCGTTCATTGCTCATCATTGTTCGCCTCACACATCATGCATGTACACTTTTTCCTAATTTATCTTCTTCCCAATTTTCTCTCCCACCTTCTGGTCCTCCCCAATTTTCTCCACCCTCTCTCGCACATCTTCTCCCTCTTCCCCATCTCTCCTCTCTACTCTCTCACATATTCTTCGTCTCTTCCCTTTGCTCTTTTTCTCCATTTTTTTATCTTCTTCTTGAACCTCTTCCCTTCTCTTTTCTTCATCTTTCTTCTTCTCCAAGCACGTACGTCTTCTCTTACATCAGTTTTGGCCAAAATTGACCAACCATTCAGCGTAGTTGGTCGATCGTGGTTGTGGAATCCTTAAAAACCGCCTTGTTCTAACCGGCGAAAACCAACATGTCGGTGGTGGGCGACGGTTCGAGCCCAAACCCGACCTCGACCGACCAATGAACACTCTTAATGGCAACCTCCTTCACTACCATGCCTTATACCAACAGCTTCTTCGTCACTAAAAGGTTTAGGAGGTTAGTAGGAAAGGTAAACTATCCTACAATGACTAGGTCAGACATAACTAACTTATGCAGTGAGTATTGTGAGTCAATATATGTCTCCTCTTATTGTTGAGCATGGGGCTGCATTGGTATAGATTCATGTTATTTGAAAGTTGCTCCTAGGCATGATTTACTATATAAAGATGGAATAGTCAATATATGTCTCCTCTTATTTTTGAGCATGGGGCTGCATTGGTATAGATTCATGTTATTTGAAAGTTGCTCCTAGGCATGATTTACTATATAAAGATGGAATATTTTGATCAGAATCTAAGGAAGATAGAAGATCAACTCCATGATATTGTATATTTGTTGGAGGTAATCTAGTTTCTTGGAAGAGTAAGAAACGAAATATGGTGTCATGTTCAAGCGCGAAATCAAAATATAGAATGATGACATTGTAAATTAACTTGGATATATCAACTTCTAAGAAACATTGACACAAACAGAACATGACACGATGATACATCAATTTCTAAAAAAATTAGGACACAGACATATTGGGATACTTTTTTTTTAGGATATATGTAAATTTAACATAAAAATACTAGATGTAATCAACTAAAAAGCATGAAATGTCAAGTTAATTACAAAACACATCATCTCATTCAACAAAACAAAGTTTCTAATGCAAAGGAAATTAAAGCTATCCTCTTTCGTGCGTAGTGGGTGGAGTTCTTTTTTGTGGAAGGTGGAATCGTGGGAAGGCAGAATTTAGGGCTTCTAATCGCGGGAGGCAGAATCCTGGGGTTCTTTTTTATGTTTAAACATTATGGTTTATGGGCCCTAAAAGTGGCTGGAGTGATCTTTTCCAGTTTTTCTTGTGTTGAAAATTAAAATCCTTGTTAAATGGGCATGTTAGACACGTGTCTGGAACGACATATTCGTGTCCAACAAGGAAACTCCCCTAAAATGTAGAGTCCGAGTCTCGTAGGAAAAAAGAAATAGAAACATGTTTGGTAATCATTTTTTATTTTTTGTTCAATACAATTTTAAATTTAAAAAGGTAAAAGTTTTATATGAAAATTAATTTTTTAAATCAGGTATTCAACATTTTTACGTTTTATTTATGCATTGTATGAGTAATGATAAGATAGATAAAATTAGGAGCTTTAGGTCACAATCCCAATGTGAACCTCTTAAGCAGAGATTCAAGAATCTTCCTCATTTTTCATTTGATATCTTCTCTTCCAGATTAAATAAGCAGTTGACTAGATCATTGAACTGTGCATAGACACCAAAACTTTCTTCTTTTATCTGGACGTTCTCAAATTGTCTAGTGAAAGAATTTGTATATTTTCCAACATGAGCGTAGTTCAACCGTTAAGACACATACTGATGCAGTCTCGGGTAAAATGAAGATTTCATTGATTACTCTCTGTTTTACCGCAGCTTGTGGTCTGATATTTGTAGTGCAGAACAATGAAATTGAAGCTAACAAACTCACCACACCCAACAACAATGAAATTTAAGCTAACAAACTCACAAGTCACAACCACACCCAACTAACTAAAATAGCCGTTGGAGTCAATAACAGCCTAACTAATTATAGCAGCCCTTGGAATAAGGATGTCTACAATGAGCTGTTGAACAGTACCGCTTACTCTCATCATCTATACCTTTCCTTAAGGTCGATGGTTCAAATTTACACCCCATGTATACTTAAAAAATATATATAGAATTAAAATAATTATAAATAGTGGATAGTTTGGAGAATGTCACATGTCTCTTTGGCAATCCAATGTTCAATACACATTACTGAAAGCCCGAACAGGAATCTAAAAATGAATAGGAACCCTTATCTTGCAAGCTTCCTATCGTTATTCTTGAAACACCACCCCCCAGGGTTTCATCCTTACCCAGATGGCAGAAAGTTCATATGGGTTACTGAAAGAACACAGTACTCCTCGAGCTTAAGGGAGACCACAGTTTGCAGGAGAAGGGGAAAACATAATGGGATTATCTCGAGCTATTCACCACTGTATGGTTAAACCATAAGATTAATGTATTGTAATCCCAAAACATATAAAAATTAATTTTACCATCTCTTGGAATTTTTATGCTTTAAATATGAAGACAGAATACGTCTTCTGCATTTTCAATGTTATTAATGAAAACATACATTTATCAGCAAGATTTAGTAGTGCACAGCATTTTAGAAACCTTTCAATTAATGGTCTAGAGTATTTAAAGCCAATCTCAACGGAAAAAAAAAAAAAAGTTCCTTTGCCCAATCTGCTTTTATTTCTTCCGTGTCTTGAAATATGGAAGAGATCCCTGACATAATTGTTGATATTATAGCTGGAAAAGTTAAGTGACATTCAGTGCCAACCTGAGTCACAGCTAAAGTTCATAAGCGAAGCATGGCTACAGGTATACGGTTATGTTTTGCTTTAAATTGCTATACCTCAGTATGATCTACTTTTAATAAAAATTTTATGTTCCCAGATTGTTGAGTGTAGGCGAGTTCTTAAATGGACTTATGCCTATGGATATTATCTACCTGAGCGTGAACATGCGAAGAGACAGTTCTTTGAATATTTGCAAGGTGTGTCTTTTCCTTTGAATTTGAGATTGAATGGTTCTCATTTAGTCGGTTCCCATTATCTGATTGATAAATGAGGGCATATTGGTTCGTTTTTTACACAGGTGAGGCTGAATCTGGGTTGGAACGACTCCACCAATGTGCAGAAAAGGAGTTGCAAGTTTACCTAAATGCCGATGGTCCTTCAAAAGATTTTAACGAGTTCCGTACCAAACTTGCTGGACTAACCAGGTGATTCTTGTAGACATAACAATGCTTTTGATGTAGTTAAGCCTCGAACTTTCCAAATAACATTATGATGTTAGGATCTTGAATTCATAGTTAAGGTTTGTTGTAATTTAGCGCATAACAAGGGGTAAATGCTCCACGTGAGATCAATGCTGTTAATTTCTGGAACATTCTCATGAAAGTGGATTAAGAAGATACTGAAAGGATTTACTGAGGTTAACTGAGAATGTAAGGTTGATGCGCGTTGGACATATCCACTGCTGGAAGAACTTTCCTGGAATTATCATTGATTAGGTTTACCGTTTATCATGATAAGATTGTTGCTGGAGATGATTTTTACTTATCTTTCCAGCTTTATTGATGGTAATATGCAATGTCATCATTTTTCCTATTATTGACTTCTCGAGGCATTGCTATAACAGTGTAACTCGGAATTACTTCGAAAATCTAGTACGTGCTCTTGAGAATGGTCTGGCCGATGTGGACTCCCACGGTACCTGCAGCAGAACTGCGAGCTCAAAGAGTACTGGCAGCTGTAGGAGTAAAGGTGGTAAGGGCAAGATGAGCGCATTCCGAGCTAGTGGGTCAAGTCGGAATATTGATGATACCGACCATTGGTCTTGTGAACATTGCACCTTTGCAAACGTCAAGTCAGCTACCATCTGCCAGATGTGCCAGCAAAGGCGATAACCATATTCACCGCTGGAAAACCAACATGGATGATGAGGCGTTCATTCCTCCCATCATCTGTTCTCGCTGGTCGGAATGTTCAAGTGCATTATTTGGCTTTCAGAAGGAAATAACTCATTTTATTTCAGGTCATCGGATTTCGGACCAGCGCAACTGGACCAAGGCATAGGAGTGTTTGAGAAACTGAATATCAGCTGTATATAGTTCCTACTCTTTGATTGTTTTACGTTCATTTATAGCATCTTATAACGTGTACCCAACTTGTGATAGTGTATTTATAGATACATAATACGTATAAATATATATATCTGTATCAAGCATTAGATGCAGACAGGCCTTTGAGTCAATAAGCTGCCATTAACTGTTGTAAGAATTATTTCAACATTCTGCACCCTTCACTGCTACTTCACATAGAAGGGATTGTATCTGAATTCAAATTTGCAACCTTATGATATAGTTTTTCCTTTTTCATTTTTCATTTCACCATTACAAATTTACAATTTGGATATAAGGCATGTTACTATACCGATATCTTATCCAGTTGAGTTATGCTTAGTTGACAATAGTGTTATATACAACTTTTGGATGTTGTGAACCGACGTAAACTTTTTGTTTAGATTTTCAGTTGGAGAGTTTCTGTTTGATTAACTTTTCATTTCGATTTCCTGTTGAGTTGGATTACTGTTTTTGTTCAAGGAATTAATACGGTAAATGGGTGGTTTTTTTTCCTAACATATTAGAGTGAATATTTGAATATTTAACCTTTAAAATGGATGTTTAATGTCTTTAATAGTTGAATAATTGTCTTTAAATGTACATTATAGGGTAGTTATCAAGTGAAATTGAATCTCGTTTTAAACCATTAAAATGGTTCAATGTGTGTGATAATATATTTATAAACTAGTAGTTGTTTCTCATTAAATATTTAGTTTAATTTAAAATAGTGTTAGTTTGTTTATTAACATTTTTTATAAATTTTGTAGGATTATTATTTTACAATATTATATGATTTATAATACATTTATATATTACCTGTTTTAATTTTAACAAAATTAAAATGAGTTTATAATATGAAATAATATAATTATCAAAGTTTTTGTCTTTTAAATCTAATTTTGCATTTTAAAGTTTCAAATTCGAAATCTGAAAATCCTATAATTTTTACTATCATAATAAATATTCAAATTCATTTAATTCTTGAAAATAATAAACAGAGTTAGATTTAGATTGTATACAAACATCCCCTTATAATTTTACTAATTTTTAAGTTTTAAAGGCCTTTTAATTTATCTTCACGAGTTCTTGAGATTGCTATTTGTCTAAAGATGTTTAAATCCTTCCTTTTGTCTTCAAAATGTCTTCAAAATCTTTAGCTCATCTTCAAAAGATCTTTTCTTGATTTTCCAAATGTGTTCATTTAATCTTCAGAAAGACTTCGTAAAGTCTTCAAAATCTAGGTGGTCTTTCCTAAATCTTCTATAGCTTTATAAATTCTAGATCGTCTAACTCTTTCGATAGTCTTTAGAGTCGCCAAAACCTTCTCTAACTTCTGGTCTCAAGATCTTTTGAATTTTTCAAGTCGTCAAATAGTCTTTAATCTTATAAGGATTGTCTTTCTAGATTCTTTACTTGCTAAAATGGGCGAAGCTCTCTATTTTCTTGCAATCAGCTGTTCGCCTTTAGTTAGAAGTAGAAGGAAAGGGCGCGATCATGATAGGACTCAAGGAAGAAGTCCCGATTAACTCTCTGCTAGTAGCTGCGGTAAGACGGGGGGAGGCACCCAACATAATGAGATTCTAGCACAAAGGGACGCTGCCGAGATTGCAGCGATCTATATGACCTCCAGGCGGTACAAAATCAACCTCTTCCATAGAAGCTCGGTAATATGGAACCTCTCAATACCTCTTGTTCCCTTATGAGGTCCTATCGAGATACGTAGGCCCAAGCATTTCCCCTCTTCTCGCACRTAATGGTGATTACAGCGGTTCCTTCTGGTCCTAGAAAACATCTGAATCTATGGAGACACTCTCTCATGGTCTTTCTGGTACAAGCTACAACTCCAAGAGCTTCAGGAGTCTGTCCCGCTCGATCTTGTCGTGTTGATAATCTGAGTCTTCAAAATCTTCAAAGCTATTGTTCAAACACATATCAATTGAGGGATACCAAGTTTAATAGCAGCTGAAGACCATTGGACTTTGTCTCATTGTCGAAATCATAATCATTTGAGTTTGTTTAAARGGCATCCCAAAAATATTTGGTTCGAAATATTGGTCTCCAATTATTTTTGGATTGGAACTCTCCAAAACATTTTGGCTTAGTTGGATTTGGGAAATTTGGCTTGCTTAGAAAGCTCAAATAGTGATTATTATTGAGGATCATAGTGAAGCGAAACCTAAGGTTGGCAAACTCTCTTCCCAAACTTGAGCTAAACTTAGGAAGCCAAACTCGGTTGAAGCCAAGCTCGTGTATGGAGAGGAGTTTTCAAATTCAAGTTTAATGGAAGAAATCAATGTATGTGTTTGAATAGTAGCTCATTGTACCAGGTTCTCACACGTCATTTTTATTTCTTAAATATAGCTTCATAAACTTACACCTAAAACACAATTTTTCTAAATTTAGATCTTCCAAACCCTTTGACKACTTTTTGAGCCTAGAGCTGAGTTTGGTATCGAAAACCTAACCAGTATTTGGGATCAAGATTTTTGGAGCATAGATTTGATTCTTCAAACCCTTAGGCTTGAACAATAAACACTATTCAAACCCTCAAGTGCAATCATATATGTTATATATTGTGATTTAACAAAACATTGAAAACTTTTAATTAAATTACAGTTTTTAAATAGTTATTTTCTAAACTACCCCATTTCTAGAAAATCTTCTCTTTTTTATTACATTATATTTAAATTGCCCATGTAGAACTCTAACATTTTCTTCATATATATATATTTTTTAAGACTGATGGGTCAAAGTATACATTCCCTCCTTGTTTTGCCAAAAACCCATATCATAAGATCGCTGTGGGCGAACGAACAATGGAATTTTGAGCACTGAAGGAGCGAAATCGGCTGCAGAGCGGATGAAGATGAACATCTTCGTTCTTCTAATCTTATTTTGCTTTGCCATTTCTTCTTCCCTTGCAATAGCAGCTGAAAATGGAGGATCCTCTTATTCAAAACCCAGTAATGGGAACAACAGAACAATCGTGGACGCGAAGGGGGCGCCACAATCTGTAATTTGGGTGGTTCAGCTCTCTGATCTCCATTTCAGCGTTCACCACCCGGACAGAGCTCTCCACTTCAGGGATTTAGTTGCCCCTGCTCTCGCCATGATCAATCCTTCTCTGGTTCTTATCACTGGTGATCTCACAGGTTCTGCTCTCCCTGTATTTGGATTTTATATCTATTCATTTCATTCTTGTTCTTTTAAATGCGCGATGGATATAAATCTCTGATATTTTAGGACCAGGAGTTTGTTTTATGTTTTGAATACTATGTCTCTAGAGTCTAAGGCATGGTAGCTATTTCTGTCGGGACATTGCGGGCAGAAATTATTTCAGATTGTGGTGAAACTTTATTTGAAGCTACAACAACCAATTGCTTTCATTGTAATCTTTTTACTGTTCCTTTTGACTATTTCCCTCTCTTAAGGATGGYTAAACAAGAGTTTTGGATCCTTCTAATAACTTGTTTTGTTCGAAGAGGAGAAGCAGTACTGCATTGAGTGTACTGTGGGTTGCAGCATTCAGTTTTGTCATTTTAATTATTTGTTGAATTACAAGTTTGGTCCTAAAATATCAGGGTTGTGTCTTAAAGATCCGTSAATTTTAAATTTTTGGTACTATTATACATTTTTTGAAGTTTGGGAACCTGTTAGACACAACCTAAATATTCAAGGACTAAATTTGTAATTTAACCTTCATAATTTTTGAACGAGCTTGAAGCTCGAAGAGAAGGAGAGACCGAAATGTGAAATGCACATATGAAGAGAATGAGCTCTGCTTGAATGGCACTGGGCAATACCATACCATTCATTAAATAGTATGTGCAGTACAACGTAATAGACATATGTTGCAGAATAACAGGTTGGCGAATGAACAACCATAAGTGGCGCCAAATGGGGAACGAGCAAAGAAAAACATGTAATGAAAGTTGCCATCAACTTTATCATGGTTTATGGCATATCCTACATCACTTGATATTTTCAATTATGTCTACCAATGTGGATACATCAGCTTACAATGTATAATTGCAGCAAATTAGTACTTGGACTTTTGCAACATTTTATTTGCATGATATAGTAGGTTAAATGCGGATTTTTGAGTAACATGTAGTAATTKCATATGAATGCGGACTCTAGCTATACTATTCACACATAACCCTCTCAAGTATAGATGCTTCATCTTTTTAGTCCTTTGTGTAGAAGTGACAAACGATGTCAAAAAAATGTTTATAACCATTGAGACTTTTCGATATTTATCAGATGGAAAAAGCAAGGATTTGTTAACCATGAAACAAAATGAGGAGGAATGGATGGAATATCAAAATGTAATGGAAGATGTTATAACAAGAAGTGGACTAGACAAGAGCATCTTCTTTGACCTTAGAGGAAATCATGATAAATTTGGTGTTCCATATGTTGGTGGTTCATTTGACTACTTTTCAAAGTATAGCATCAATGGGCWGCTGRGCCGAAATGCAAATGTGTATAGTGTTACTGTTCAGGTTAGTTATTTTCTTTAGATGAGCTATGTGATGAGTACATGTACATAAAATATTATGGTTCTAATATAGTCCTCCTTTTATAAGCTGGGTAAAATATATGCTCTCAGGTTTCCTGTAAGATAAATGGAAAAACCATGTAGATTAGGAAGCCCCATTGGAAGATAGAACTTTTGCTCATTGCCAAGCACATCACAAATATGACCTTCCAACAACCGTATTTGTCCTTAAATGTATTCCAAAAAATTGCTTAAATTTTACTTTGGTCTGTCAGATTATCCTGTGGGTACCCCACTACCAAAATCAATCTCTAAAATGACAAAAAAAAAATGGACGTCAAGTGAAGTTGCAACTACCATGAGTATCTATGGAATATTTAGGTATAGAAGAATTCTTTTTAGGCCAGAAGTCCTTTTAAGATGAGTTTTCTACGGGGCCACAAATGAACCGCCAAACTGTCGAACTATCCTAGACAGCTACGGACAAGAACTGAAGCTTATCCTCGGCATTTGAACTGGCAGTTAATTTGCTTCACTTACTACAGATGTAGAATGAAGTCATTCATGTTGAAACTCTAGCTTCAAGGATATAACTGAGAAATTGAATGTGCTTAAGCCTAAATACTGGAAATTTATTGATTAAAATTTTTGTACTGTTTATTATCTTTGATATGAATAAAAGTATGAGATTTGATAAGTAGGACTTTTGCAACTGCAAACACCGGCCACATTGGCTAATTTTTTATTTAAAAACCACTCATATTAATAGATTTCTTTTGTTCCATCATTCAGGCTGGTCAACATAAATACCTCTTTGTTGGATTTGACAGCACCATGTCTGTTGGTTTGAGAGGCCCAACAAATCTCCTTGGGCATCCAACTGATCAGCTATTAACTGAGTTAGATTTGGAGCTCTCTCAATGGGATTCATCGACGACCGATCCAGTAACTAAGATTTCTTTTGGCCATTTTCCTCTCTCATTCACAGCTTCCTCCCTCTCTGGAAAAAATCTAAGAGATATCTTTCTGAAACATTCTCTATCTGCTTATTTGTGTGGACATCTCCATACAAGGTTTGGTAAAAATTTGAAGAGGCATCATCATTCAAATTCTAGTATTTTGTCACAGAAGTTTTTCCAGTTTAATATGCACCAGATGTCTTCTGGAAGTACCACCAACTGTTCGTTTGAAGTGGAACCAGTTCAAGAATTTTGGGAGTGGGAGATGGGCGACTGGAGGAAGAGTAGAGCAATGCGAATTTTGGCCATTGATAATGGTCGTGTGTCATATCTTGACATTGACTTCAAGTCTGAAACTAAGAAAACTATTTTGTTGCCCACATTTCCATTAGATTCTCGCTTCATGTCAAGGTATTCATTGCCTCACAATTATAAATGTCAGTTGATCGCTCCTTCATCTTATCAGTTGATAAGAGCACTGGTTTTTTCAATTTCTCCTATCGTATCTGTTGTGGCTAGAATATATGACTCTAGTCCTGGAGTCCTCAGTTTGATCCTAGAAGAATCCATGAGTAAATCGTTGGCAGATAATATCTCAAGGGGAGATCTTTATACTGCTCCATGGAATTATAAAGCCTTTGAAGACCCATCTCCTGATAGATATTATCTGCAAATAGAAGCAACTGACATTGCAGGAAGGTCAACTTTATCCGACCTGAGGCCATTTTCTATCAATGGTCTCACTGCAAAAGTGTCCTGGACATGGAGTGAGTTCAAGGTTATGGGAGTTCAATGGGCTGCCTTGTACTACCCTGTACTCTGGTCTTCTCTGTTTATCATGCTTTCGATGCTTATTCTTCCAAAAGCGATCCTTATTTATTCCAAGAAGCAGTACACTTTCAACAATTTCAAGGCGAATAAAAGCTTCCTAAATGGCACAGCATGGGTTATACAAGAGCTCAGCAACGTTCCCATGGCATGGCTCTGCATGTTAGGTTACTTAATCTACCTTATATCCTTCCCATGGTTTATTGGGCAAGTTCTCACAGATGGCGAGGATAGGGGATACATGACCTATATGGGATGGGTTGTCAAAACTTCAACTGAAACGGACAAACATAAATATATTGGTTCTCCAGATATAATGGTGGTGGTTCTTTCCCATCTTCTTTTTGTGATTTACCCTGCTATTTTCATCACGGTTGCTTTTGCTGCCGAACGAGGAGTCTATGGGGAGTATTTCCTCTCTCTTTTAGCAAAGAAAGAAGATGATTATGGTTACAATAATAAGAGGCCTGAATCGTTTGATTTCAAAAGCAGTGGGAGACTTAATTTTTGGTTTAGATGGAGGTGGATTCGGAAGGGTCTCCTGATCATTTGTGCAGTAATATGTTGGAAGCATTTTTTGGTAAGTCATTTTCAAGTAATCTATTCCTTTAACCATTTAGAAGTTGTTCATCTCTCAGCGATAAATTTTTTTCTCAAACTCACCTTTTGCATCTTTTAACCATTTAGCTGTTTATTTCTCATAGATAAACTTTTTACTCAAACTGGCTTCCTAAGATTAGCTCTAGAGTGTGAAAAATAAATTCAGACATTGAGTAACTATTGAAGGCTAATTTGTGAATTCTCTATCTTTAGCATATATAGATAGGTATAACTAAAACTACTGAGTGTCACCGCCCTTTCTAAGTTACCCCTTTAAATTGATCAATCTTTCTTTAGAACTGAAGGACATAGTAGTACAACCTATATAGAACACATCCTATTTAAGTAAGGTCGTAATTAGTCAATCTTTCTAATATCTTCGAAAGTAAAATCTAAACAATGAGTGATGCATAATGTACAATATAAATGAGGTAGTTTTGCTTCCAAATTTTGGCATGTCGCCAAATAATGAATGAAGTCACTCACTCCCTTAGAGGGAAAAAGAAACAAGGCAAGAAACTAATTTTGATTCCATTGCCCCCTTAAGGCCATTAGATTCAGAAGGGCTACTAACTACTATATATCAATTCATAGTGTTTTTCTCACAGAATTGCAGGGCTGTTATGAAGGCTTATGAGATGAATCCATTTCTCCACTTTCCTGTGTACTGCTTCGCAACACCAGTGTTGTTGGCTTATGTTGCTTACCAAACCAGAGGCATCAACTGACCATTGGCCGCTTGATTTAGACTAGCTTTTAATCTGCTTCAACTATATTCTGCTCTAGAAGCAATGAAACATCATCCGATACAGCCATACACAGCACTCAACAGAATGCTTTTCCTAACTTATAGGGGTAAGCACAGATTAAAAGGAACATAATTCTTGGTTATAATGCTCATTGTGTTGCAGAAAATGGGTTGAAATCCAAATGAGAATCTAGGGTTGGTAGAAGAGATAGTGCCATCTTTTAGATTTTGCTGTATGTTTTTTGTAAGTTAGTTTTATTCCATAAAATTCTGTCTCATCCTCTTTGATTACTATAGGTTGGTTTGGTAGTTCTGTTATTTTTAGAACAAATTTTTGGGTGGTTTTGTTAGAGTAAACATCTACTTTCTTGTAGTGGTAGTCTTTGATTGGCCACCTTCCAAGGTATAAATTATAATATTGATGGTGTTTAATTGAAATAAACCATTCATCTTGCAGTGGTAGTCTTTGATTTCTACATTATTTAGCATTAGCTTGTATAGAACCTAAGAAAACACCTTATGGACCTTATAGACTATGAGTTTCAATTATCCAAAATTAACAACAAAAATAATAATAACAATAATCTTTTATCTCATCTTTTATCTCACTGCCTTGGCAGCCTAACTCACAAGAGCTTGGGATCTCTTGGTCGTACTGGTTCAGAAGTCTCAAGTTCAAACTTTTTCTGATGAGTTTAATACCAAAAATCCTTGATGTCTCTCAAGTTCAGGCCTTAGGACGGGTGCAAGTGTCCCTAAATATAGGAAACCAAAGCATCGACTCCCAATTATCAARAAAATAATAATAATAATCTTTTATCTAACTCTCATCTATTAACTTAAGGTTACTCCTCTAAAAATGTATGGAGCTAAATTGTAAACTCTCATGCATTATAGAACGAGTTAAATATAACTACTAAATTTATTTCATCATGGTTGGCTGTCATCACCTACAAAGGAAATGGCTCATTAAAGCTCTGGAAGCCCTAGCAATTTTAGGACTCAAAGCGCTGAACYGATCCCTTACCTTTGATGCCGAAATTAAAATCGAGGAGGAATTGGATTGTTTGGAAGCTATGAATATCATCGATAAATCTACCGTGGAGCTTACCGAAGTTTCTCTGGTTGTTGAAGATATCTAGAAGGAGGCGGATCCTTGCCAATCGAAAGGTTTCAGACACATTTCGAGGGAAACGAATGAAATTGCTCGTGGTTTAGCGAGGAAAGCGTGCAATGAGGGTTTTTCTTCTTCGTGGACTCTGAAAAGTCTATTTCACTCCTGTAGTTACATTTTATTTCTTCTTAAGTACTGTTCAACCTCTAATRAGTGACCCATTCCACATATATATAATCCTCTATTCCATATAAATATCAACTTAGTACATAATCATTCATCATTCAAASTCATAGTTCATAGTGACATTGCAGGTGAAAGGGAGTATTATCTATATAATAGAATACATAATCTCTATTTTTTTCAATTCATCACATAATGTAGGTTGCTATATTAAGCCATAAACTCCTGAAAGAGAGTTTGAAATTTCTCCATCTCCTTCTTGGGAAGAGCCACCAAAACATTCACTCCACTGCTTTTTCCACTTCCATTAATGTCAGGAAACAGCAATATGATGTCCTTCCTATGATTCACCAAAGGACAACTATACTTTGGCTTTCCCCATGGATATTCAACCTCTGCAAACCCTAATCTCCACCATGAAGACACCAAGAACTCCCCATTTGGAAACCCCTTGTAAAGCTCTCCCCAGTCTATGGCCGATCTTGCGTACTCGTCCGTCATCCTCGCCGCTGCCTCCGCCACCATCTCCACCACCCTCGAAAACGGCCCGTCTTCTAGCTCCTTGCATTTCGTAGTGGYGTACACTGTCAACACTCCGTTCCCGCAATACGACTTTGGCAATGGAGGCTCCAATCTCGACCTGCATTATTCAAAATATATTGAGTAAAGTATTCAAATGTAATGTAACCCATCAACTCTAACAATTTAATACAACCTCGCATCCTATCCGTGAGTGTTCAGGCCAGACTAATCTCACGGACAATCACCTAATCCTACAACATTTGATACTGGGAAACACATAGAAATTACTAATTTTTAAGGTAGGTGGTCATCATGGGATTTGAACTCATTCCCTCCTAATAAACCCAGAAATAGTGAAAGTATTAAAAAATATTAAAAAATATATAAATATATGAATAGATGTACCACAACTTATCCGCTTAAATTTATCACAACTACGACCTTAGATCCACAGCGTAGAGCAACGTGGACGGTCTTTCACGGTTGTTCTCTGCATCGAACGATAGTGCCTTGCATCGCCAGACGAGCGCGGTGACGACATTGAAGCTGCTGATGCGAAKATTCTCGCTGCCGTCTCCGCCGCATCTAGTGGTGGGCCCCGCCTTGTGCTTAAGGGCAGCAATGTCCATGGCAGTTAGTTTGAAGATGTTGAAGTGGAGATCCYGTGGGGTGGCTTCAAAGAGTGGTGCGTTCGATGAGTCGGGAGAGGGCAGCTTGAGGAGTTCGTGATGTGGGAAAGTGACACGTGGAGGGGATCGGGCGGCCAAGAGGCGTCTGTCATGGCAGGGAGTCACAGCCAGGGGCATGTTAGCAGCTAGAGCTGCCAAGTTTTCTAGGAACATCTTGAAGCTCAAGCCGTCGAGTGTGGAATGGTTCGTTGAGAAGCCCATTGCAAAACCACCACATTTGAATGAAGTAACCTACAAAARAATTTCAAATTTAGATTCAAATTATTACAAAATTTAAAATACACCTATTTCATAATTCACTTCCTCTTAATAACTAATATAATCAATTATTAAATATATAAGTCATCAGTCATACAATTAATCATAATATACGGYSGYGGTTGATYGTAATTGGAGACTTTTGCTAATTCGAGCCTAGCTAATATATAAGACACCTATTTATACCTTTTTAAATTTAAAAGTTCAATCTCCCAAACGGTAGAGTCAATCGTTTTCGTTCTTAAGAAAAAATTCAAAATTTTATATTATATATATACACACATACATCCATATACATAATCATTCAGTTTCTAAAATTGGGGTTGGGGGCAAATTAAAATTGATAAGTGGGAGACAAATTATAATGGGATAACGAGTTAGAGGAAAATTACTAAATCTTTAGGTATTATATATATTTTTTTAATCACAACAAGTGGTATAATTTTGCCTAAAATTATATTATTGTAGTTGTACCATACCATACTCAATTATTGTTTTAGAAGGAAATAATATAATCTAGGTTGAAAAACACATCGGGTCGTTGTACCATGAACTTCAGTTTGTAACGATTTAGTCATTGTACTTTTCCTAAAGTAACAATTTAATCCCTTAATTAACAATTTAGTCCGTGTAGTTTAAAATTTGTAACAATTTAGTCCCTATCGTAAAAAAATTTATTAAAATTAAGTGTCAAATTTTATTAACAATTTAATATTTYTAATTCATAAACATATTTGGTCTCATTTTAGTTTATCAATCTATACATTCAAGAAACTTAACAACAAAAAAAATCGTTACCAACTTTAAATTACAAGGACTAAATTGTTACATATTAAATTTCAAGGACTARATTGTTATCAGTTTGAAAGTATAAATACTAAATCATTACAAACTAAAGTTCATGAACTAAATTGTTACTTTAACGAAAATATAGAGATTAAACGGCATTTGACATCAAATAAGAGTTTTTTTTTTTTTACGGACATTAAATCAGAGTTATTAAACGAATGATTGACATTGAGTAAAAGATGGTGGCAATTAATTAAGAACTTAAACTAGACACGTGTCTATAATTATTACCACCGCTCCAAAATAAATGGAACTGTCAGGGTTGTTGGCAATTGCCAATGGCCATTTATTTATTTATTTGGGAAAGAAAATCATTTTCTCTTTAACCTCCTTTGGAGGTTTTTTGGCTTGTGAAGCTGTTACTTTCCCATTTAAAAATATTTTATTTGAAATTACATGCGTAAAATAAATATATATTTTATAGTTCATTTGATACATGTGAAAATACATTGTTAATAACTTTTTCGAGAGTAGACGTGTTAGAAGCTAAAAATTGCACTACTTTAGAAAGTTTACGGTGAAGATTGCAACACAGGTGTAATTTGATGAAATTGAAAATTTAAGGTAAAAATTGATACATCGTTGAAGTTAAAATTGATCATTTTCATTTTCATTTTCTTTGAGGATCCTTGCTATTTTATTATTTTTTTTAGGAGATTTAGAGTGTAAATTAACAAGAAAAATTAAAATATTTTATGGGAACTTTTACAAATAAAAAGTAATTATAAATATGGTGTCAAAGTGAGCGTAATTTAACGGTAATTGACGTATATCTTCAACCAAAAATTTTTTGTGAGTTCGATCTCCCATCTACATATTGTACTAAAAAAATTATAAATATGATATCTTTTATTTAAAAATTACAAATATAGTATTAATTAACTATCAATAATGGTAATCAATGCCTTTGAATGGGGTGAAATTCTCTAATTTTATCGGAAATAAGACTTTTTTTTTTAATTCAATATGTGTGGCAGTGAGACGACTTTTTTCTTGAAGATGTAGTCCTTGGACTAGGACAATAATTTTTCCTCATTTAATTTCGGGGATAGGGGCAAACAATGGGTTGTTCATCACCCAATCAATAATTTGTTTTTTTAATTATTTGTTGAATATATTTATTAATTTTTGGGTTCATAAATTAAATATTTAATTAAATTTATTATTAAAACTAATAAATAGTTAAAATTTTAATTTTCTATAAGCTTTTAACTTTAAAATGTATTATTACTGTTTATTTATTTTTAAAAAGAATTTCAATTTTCTTGTTTTGGAAATACTTTTCGTCCCTTACTAGATTTTGTATTAATATTATTGGAAAATTAAGTTTTTTTAGTACATGGAACGAAATCAAACTCACGACCTCTTGATTGGAGATATATGTCAATTACTGATGAACTAAGCTCATGTTGGCAAAGTTAAGTTCTTTATTAGAAATAAAAAAGAAAATCATATATCGATTAACTTTCATTAGCCTTAATTTTTTCGTTAGTATTAGAAAAATAGTTATGTTATTGGTGAGAAATATAACGAAAACTAGTTATGTCATTGGTGAGAAATATAACCTTTTCTAGGAAGGTTGAGATGGAAATTTCAACCTCAGACCCTTTCGAAAAGGTAATAAAAGATGTCATCGTGAAAAATTAATTGAGGTACACATGATTAAATAAACAGTATGTTAAGAAATTTCCAACCAAATATAGTTAAATCAAGTGGTTGACCGGTAAAGCATATCAAAGTATACGTTAAGCTCAAAACAAGTAAAATAACACGAGCGATCGAGAAGGTACATACCTGGAGAATGACAAGCGGATGGTCATGAGGCTCCAAGCCATCCAAAGACTTAGAAACCAAGTGGTGGAAAGCAGGATTTGGGTGAACCAAGTCTCCAATCTCATCCAAAGAGTAGGCACTAGAGGCCACCACAAAGCCAGCCCCAGCGCCATTGCAATCAATCTCCAAACGGCCATTATTTTCAGAGCAAATCTTCAACCTTCCAGCCAAGAAGTCATAGGCCACTAAGAGCTGAGAAAATGAAGTTTTGATTTTCTGAGTCACAACTTGGGGTGGAAAATGGCTGTGGGGTGGGAAAAAATGGACTGTTTCAACGCTGAAGTTGAGGACTTGGTCGATGTTTGTCAAGAACAAGGATTTTCTGTTGGTTTGTTGGGATGGAAAGATTAGAGAAGACTCCTTGATGCTCACTTTGAGGTCTTGTACAAGAGGAGGGTCTTGGTAGAGGGCTCCCATGTTCTGGTTCATGTTTTGTTTTGTGTGGTGGTGCCTTTTTCTTTTGCCTGGTTTTATACCCAAAACTTAGTGAATGGATGGGATGGAAAAAAAATAATCGACGTTCTTAAGGATGAATAAACCACCACTCAACCCAAAAGTCTAAGTTGATGACAAAGTGATGGAGAAAATCTATTATGTATTTTTTACTATCACATAGATTTCTCTTCCCGACTCTAATTAAACAAAACACTCTCTCAAAATAAGTAYCGGTCAGTTAACTAGAGCTGGTGTACCATGCTTAAATATTTCAATTGAGATGATTAAAACACATGACTATAAGCTCCTTTTATATCATTTGGAGCACACTCTCTTCTTGTATTTTTTTGATGTGGGACAAACTTCAATTCAATTTGTCAAGACCCAACATGTACTAATTAGTATCAAATTGGGATATCTTGAGTTTTAAATTATTCTATGTTGATACAGTTACTAGCTTGTTGAGCTTTTAATTTTTTTGGAATTGATGTCGTGTGGATTACATTATGGATCCCTATAATCGAGATTCGTTGTTTGGACTGAACAAGAGAGTGACCAGCACAGGACTTGAATTCAAAACCTCATTATAGGTGATACCACAAGGTCCAATGCTTTTGCCACTGTACTATCTCTCAAGAGACAGCTTTTAAGTCATTTCAGTCTAATTTTTTTTTAGGTTCAAATATTAATGTGATTTACAAAACTCAATGCATGAACTATTAATACTAATTGAGGAAGAAAACGGTGACGTTGTATAAACTAAAACAAAACATCTCTTTCTCTATTACCATTTAAGGTCGGACACATTTGATTTTTCGTGTATAATTCTCGATCGATAGGTCTAGTTTTGGAGGTATAGTCATACATGGAATTGCAAATAAGTGGCATCAATATGATCATACTATATTATTCGTCATCTCTCTATCCATAGGTTATGATATATACATATATAGTTTTTATATATATTCTATGTTTTGATTTTAGAGGTCTTTTCTCCATGTAAGTTGAGAAATGGACATTTGAGCCCAATTTGTTTCCCAAAGTGAATGGCAGTGCTGAATAAGGTTGATAAAGTACACAAATATTAAAGCTCACCAAATACAGCTCCCTCTCTTCATGATATCGCGTTAGTCAACTGCGAGTTATACCGACACAAACGTGAAGGAAATAAAAGTCTTCCCCATCACTACTCCTTACCCGCGGCAGTTTAGTTCAAAAGTTTCTACCAAATCTCTAAACTTTTAATTTTTTTTTTAAGAATATCTAATTTTTAATTTTATGTAATATACGCATTTGATTATATCTCAAAACTAAGGTGACTGGTCCCATATTTGGACTAGATTCTTGTTTGAGTTTTTGACTCTGTATGGAGACTTTGGATCGAATCATAACTGCCTGCTTAAGATAACAAATTCTAGTGTTTTTTTTTTCACAATCCTACGTTGTATTTAAAGTTATCTAACACTAATTTGGTTAATTTAGTGCTTACCTGATATAATAACAATTTTATTTAAGAGTTGAAAGTTGGATGACATATTAAAATAATTTTAAGTATATAATTAAATATTTTTACGTGGAAATTTAAAATTGAACCGGAGTCGCTGTCAAGTTGAATGAATGAGTTATGTAATAAAAGGAGCCGCCGGCTTTGCAGTTGGGAGTGTTCTTTAAAAAGTGGTTGACAAAGTAGGTAAATACGGATATATACATAGACATGTTATTGGTTGGGGTTTTTACTGTTTGATTGAAACTCCAACATTTAAGTATTGACTTCTTAGGAAAATGTGCATTTGCAAAGGAAGTTTCTCTCAAAAGAGAAGATGAAACTCTTAGCCTTAGGTACTATTTTTAAACATCATGAAATTTCCAATTTCTTTTTACTTTTTTTTTTTTTTACATTTTTTCAATGTCACGAAAAAGTCAAAAATCCTGGCCAAAAACGCGTCTTTTATATTTTATGACGTTTTTCATTTTCCAACTTTTTTTATTGTTCATCAACATCTAAACTCAAAATTATAGTAGTGAAAAAAAAATGCTAAAATCAGAACCTAGGTTTAATTTATAGAAATACTTTTCACTCTTAAAAATAGCAACTTCGGAGTTACAGAGAATGAACGGTAATGGTCGAGATAACAAAATCAAAATTCTAGTTTTTAATCCTAGGCCTTAGATGCATGTCTTTGTACACTCTTTGAGAGGAGTGGTATGGTTATGGATTTTTATTTCTCTTTATATTATGTTTCTTATTTCTAAATTTTGAAACATATTTAATGATTATTATTCATAATTATTAATTTTTATTTTTAAAAAATATTTTTCAAATGCATATAAAAATTTTAGAAACAACAGAGACTATTCTTTTTTCCCCTTTTCAAATTTTGTCTTTTTTCTTTTTCTAAACACATAAATATAAATATGATTTTATCATGTCGTTGGTGGTCAAATTCAGACGACACATGTAAACACCTACTCAGTTCGGAGTCATAAAGGTAGAAAATGGACCCTTTGTACCCGCTTAGCTGAGGTGAACCAACTATATCAACCGATCTAAGAAATTCGACCTCATGTYCAACCACCGACCTGGGGTCCCAATAGTCGTAATTGTCGGTCGGAATGGCTTCAACGGCTCTGTTTCCCCGACCTGCCTATAAAAGGGACACTCCGCCCCACGATTCAGATATGCAATTTCTCTGAGAACGACTTGATACAGCTCAAGCTCACACTAACTTCGGCGTCGGAGCGTTTGTTCCTTGTGTAGGTTTCATGGATATCGTACCTCGAAGCTCGTGACCCGACCTATGAGCTTGACAGAAAATAACATCAACACATTTTTTACTTATAAATGCAAAATAAATATTATGTTAAATTAATAGTTTGATCCCTATACTTTTGAACTTTGGTACATTTTGGTCATCGTACTTTTAATGTTTGTTTTTTTCGATGCACTTTAACTTTTTTTTCATTTTGGTCCTTCTACTTTCAAAATGTTCATTTCGATTCATTTACTTTAAAAAAAAGTGATAATTTTGGTCCCTTAATTTTATTTATAATCTAATTTTTTTTCTACCACAATTTCAACACGACACTACACTCAATATGTTTATTGAAATGTAACCACTAATTTATATTAAAAAGTTTATGTTATATGTAGAATTTGTTTTAAAATTTTGCCAATAAGCACCAAAATAGAGCCCCGAGCCCCATAAGCTGGTTTTAGTTTGGTTCCATTAAATCTCTTATAAGAACTTAGTCGTGTCAGGGTTCTATCAACCGTGCCGACCAAGTAGACTTGATAGGGATTTAGTCACACTAGGGCTTTACAAGCTAAGTCAATCGAGTAACTTGAATAAGAACTAGATACTTACTACTCTCAAGACGAGGATTTGCTGTCAATTATGACCCTCAACTTAGACAAATCTTATTTAGAGAGTGAGAGCTATTATTAATCAGCTACAGAAAAGCCTAAGTAACTTGACCCAAGTCATCAAAAGCGCTTAGGCTTAGAAACGACATCCAGAGCCATCGAGCATAAACCTCGCATGTCTAMGACACGGGCCATCCATCATGAATCAAGTATGTAGGCACAAACTAAGAGATCAAGCCCATTGGYCGAGTTCTGCAATCCATGATGCTAAACCCATGGAGGGAGATGACGTTTCAACTGAGTCAAGGTTCACTACAAAATCTCAATTCTCGCTACTACCAACACAAACCCATATCTGACTAAAATATTAGAGTGTGTTAGGCTAAATTGCATAAGTGTATTCTCTCTGTTTTTGTTGCAGTTTCTCTTGTATCTTATTAATCAAGAATATTTGTGCAAGTTTGGTCTAGGTTATATTTACGCATCCATCGTTAATATAGATTTATGAACTTTTTAAATTAAATTATTATAAAAATATTAAATACTTATAAAAACGAATTATTTTACCTAGTTACTAATATAAATACTATATTTCACCCAATAATTAATTTTAATACATTTATTAATATTTAACAATTTTTATTCTAAAAAAATAATTAAAATAATCGAACAAAACTTTTTCCTATACTCCAATTAGATTCCTTGACCCTAATCCCAATTGAAATTTAGAATGAGGATGAAAGTTAAAAATCTCCACAAAAGTAAGAAGGGAAGACATACTAGACGTTACCTAACCATTTGACATCCCTAAATATTTCAAATTAAAAAACACGACTAATCTAAAAACAAATTAATTTAGATTTAATCTTGAATTAATAAATGATTATATTTTGAACTAAAAAACAAATAAATTTGTTTGAATCTAATTAATTAGATTAGATGTAATAAAATGGAAACTAATTTACTTTAGTGTAGTGTGGAACGTCCAATCAGATAGAACCCCTTCGCGCCAAGCTGCGCCAAATTTGGAGCCAAATCCATGCCAATTTCGTTTGGCGGGAAATTTCTTTTTTTAATTTTAATTTTTCTTTATTCTCTCTCCTTGTTTTTCCCAATAGTATAAATCTTTATTGACTTAAAATATATTATTTTCTCTTCCCAATCCCACCCATTTCTCTGAAACTCTTCTTCCAAAATCAAGAACTGAGAAGAAATCTAGCAGCAGCTGCGAACCAAGAATTCAATCGTCATCCTTCAAATTTGACCAAGGTAAGCGCGAAATGGAGTCTGTTTCTTCAATTCTTTTCGATTTTTCTTTTTCACATTGCAAGGTTTTGTTCTTGCTCTATCTGAACTGTTAGGGTTTCTATTTTCCTCTTTGCATGTGTAGTTTCTGGGGAAATGGATGCGGAGATAATAGACGTTGACGAATGCTCCAAACCTTCGACTACGGATGGTCAAAATCGGCCTCGGAAGATCCGGAAGCGGAAGAGGGGGTGCATGGAAATAGGAAGTTTGGTGAAGGAAGAGAGAGAGGCGAAGATCGAGGGTCTTCGGAAGGAGATTGAGAGCTTGTTTAAGTATTACGGCGAAGTTATGTGTCAGAGAGTGAATCTTGATTTAGGCCAATGTAGTTCAAGTAATTCGATTGTGGCTGCTTTAATGGAAGAGAGTGATTTGCCATTGTCGAAGCTTGTGGCTGAGATTTACGAGAAGATGAAGAAGATAGAAAATGGCGGTGGATTAGAGTCAGTGACCGTCGCATCAGTGAAARCTTCTATTCTTTTTGTTGGTCGGAGGGTTATGTATGGTGTGCCCAACGCGGATGCGGATGTTTTAGAAGACGCCTCCAAAGAGTGTCTATGGTGTTGGGAGGTACATTTAAATCTATCTCGTAGGTTTTATTGTTTGTCTCTGCGTAATGGGTATTTTGCTTTTTGCCGGTTATAGGTGTCAATCGGTTTATACTAATCATATATTAGCTCAGGCTGTAGCCAGAAAATTTTCATTAAGATTAAGGGGTAAAAATTTACATTCTAAATTTATATATGGGAAAATTAGTAGTACATTTTTTTTAATGTTTTGGAATCTAAGACAAACTAAGAGGGTAATTGCCCCCTCTTTGTTATTGGCTCCCTGTATTAGCTATTGGTCATTCACATTTGTTGAGAACGTGTGAGGTCTGGTTTCTTGATTAATTTCCATGAGAGAGCATGATTAACATTCTATCATTGTTTTGCTCAAGTTGTTAGTTTCTGATTAAATTTCTCAAGTTACCAGACACGCCAATATTTAGTTTTTTCTCCCATAATTCATACTTCTGTTCTCTACACTATTTTGTCTGTAGTAAATGGGTGCAGGTTTGTTCTATATATTGACAGTTCTATTGTAAATTTATAGGGTCATGTTTATATGCTGCCACTACCAAAAGTTATTAGTTTCTTTGGCTGACTTTCTAAATATATTTTATGCTTTTATCCTGTGCTTCATGCTGATCTTCCCCTTTCATTTTGAAGACTAGGGATCTAAAGTTGATGCCAAAATCCACCCGTGGAGTATTGAACATTCGTCGTATGTGTCGGAAAAAGATTAATGAGAGGATCACTGTTCTCTCGGGTAGGCACTGTTTAAAATTTATATACTATCTTGGGGAAAATTAACTGCTGTCCCCCTCGTTATATCCTTCTTTGATTTTACTCTGTGCTCTATATTTTGGCTCCTTGGATAGGGGAAAAAATCAATGACATCTCTCTGTTGCAAACTAATGACGATACGTAAGGACCCAGCTTAATTGGGAGAGAAGTTGTAACATCTAGTATGGGAGAAGTTGATTTATTTGTCTCCCATCTAAAAGATCTATGAGTTCAGTTGTAGGCCTTTCTATGGGGTCATTTTGATATATTTCAACATTTATAAATTACTTGCATATGTTACTCTCAAAACTTATATTAGGTTTAGTGTGGTAAAGGTAGATAGGTCCTACCAATCTTTGGAACTTGTTCTTATCCACAGAAATACCTTGACCATTGTGACCGAAGTTAGCCTTAGATCATAGGTGCATTAGAGGATTTGCTCCCTAACATTTGAGTTTTATTCCAAAGATCCAGTATTTTTATTATTATTTTTTTTTTTGAGTTCAACAATTGCAGGGGAGATCTAGTACATATTTTCTTTGAGTGACATTTATGAGTTATGCCTTCATGGAATCTAGCAATTTCCATTCTAAGAATTATTTTGTTTTTGGGTCTCTCACCTCAAAATTGTTTGATAGGAGTTATTATATATATATAAATGGATAAGAAACATTTCATTGATGGGATGAAATGAAATTACGAAAAGGGAGGCCCCCTACCCAAAGGAATTACAGAAAACATTTCCACTTTCTTCTTCACAATTTTTAGTAGTAATAATATCATCAGCATATACGATGGCTGTAGCTACTTTTCCTTCAGGAAAGTGTTTGTCAGATAAGGTACGATAGCTTGGCATGGGTACCCAGTGTTTTTCTAAAGCAGAAGGCTTACTAAAGTGCAATTGCCTTTTGAGGCTTAAGTGTGAGGCAGAGGCAGGAAAAAAGTGAGGGCCTATGGACATAGGCTCTTTACTAGTACAAGTACATTGTTTCTTAAAATTGTGTTTCTCCATGATTTAAAATCAATTTATTTTTTTGCTTATTTTAATAGTTTTTCCTGGGATTTTTGCTCTATTTTTCCTCCATTGTGAATCCCTGATGTTTGTCTTATTTCAGCAATGATGTCAGCATTGCTTAAGTCAGAGACTGATGAGACTTTCATTCAAGAGTTCACTAAGGCATCAGAAAAACTTGGTAAAGTTTTTGATGAAGCCAAGATCCGTTTATTAGTGGATGGTTTGTCACAGAAGAATTCTGCTGAGATGTATGAGTTTTTATTATCTTTAAGGCGTTACATTTGTTTTTCCATACATTGCTTGTATGATTTGAATTTCTCATTTCAGGGCTGAGAAGGAAGCAAAGCGAGAAGAGAAGTTAATGGTCAAACAATTAGAGAGAAGTCAGAGGGAGGCTGAAAAGGAGAAAAAGAGAATAGACAGGGAACAGCAAAAGGAAAAGTTGCAAAATGTAAGTACTATGTGATCTCAAATTTTATCTTTTTTCTGCTGTTGGCTGAGGAGATGGCAGTTAGAGAAGTATTGGTTATCAAAGAGACTTTATCAAGTCTTAAGATTTTCAAGTGATTATGTGTGCAAACCTTTTTAAATCAGGAAAAGGAGTCAAGAGAAATAGAAAGGGAAGAAAAGCGTCGTGAAAAAGAAGAGAATGAAATGAAGAAACAACTTAGGAAGCAGCAAGAGGATGCTGAAAAAGATCAACGTCGCAGAGAGAAGGAAGAAGCTGAATTGAAAAAGCAACTTTCTTTACAGAAGCAAGCTTCCATAATGGAGCGTTTCCTTAAAAAATGTAAACCCAGTCCCTCATGCCAGAGTGATCAATCTGTAACTGAATTGACTACACCAGTTCCATTGAGTAAAGCAAGTGAAAACACGGTGGATGCGTGCACACAGTTAATGGACTGCACACTTTCCTCAAATGACGTGATCAGTCCTGTTGTCATCCGCAGGTATGTATTTTCTTTATATAGTATTGTTTATTGAGAGCAGTAGGCTTTATCAAGATCATATTTTGATGACATGTTCTACTTTCAGGCTGCACTTGTCATCTTGGCGCTTTATAGGTCATTCCATCCGTTCAAGAGAAAAAAAGCACTGGGGCATCCGGCAGAAGCCTAAGTGTGAACTATTTAAGGAACTTAAACTTTCAACTGGCAGAGAATTAGCTCAGGATGAGGAAGAATTGGGTGAGGAGAGGCTTGTAGATGATTGGGAAGAACAAATTACAGATGATAGAACTAGCCAGTCAGAGTCACGCAGTACTTTGCTTGATGTTAGGAAGTTGAACAGGGGGAAACAGTTGTTGCAATTTGCAAAGAGCTATAGACCTGCATTTTATGGCATTTGGCCCACAAAAAGGCAAGTTTTCCCCAAATATTAATAAATATATATTTCTCATTTTCAATTATAATAATATTGCTCCTCTATCAATATATTTCTCAGTTTCTTATAAAAAAATAATATCAAAGAAACGTTTAATTTAATCAAATTAGACAAAAGACGAAGTCTGTACATGTGGTTTGCCTATTTTGTTAATCATACACGTTCTCAACACCAATTTGTAAAACCCAATAATCAGACTCTTGAACTTTGATGGAATAGATACACAACTTATCATATGTGTGCCACGTGCACTAATTCCACTTGAATTGATTGATAGAAGGGTGTGATTAGCAGATTCATGAACTACATGATAGTTTGAAACGTTTTTTAAATTACAGGGCTCTTACTAGACAACCACATGGGATAATATGCAGTTATCCCTAATTTGTATATGTTCCTTGGATCTTTTCAAGAAGGGACTCTCTGAATAATTTTGTTTATTATTGTGTTGTCTTTCCTTTATTCTAAATGAATTAAATGAATTAAATTTACCCAACCCATCAGTTTAAGCTTTTGGGTTGAGTGGTGGTTTATTCATCCTGAAGAGTAGTGATAGAGAACATAGAAAGAGCCTTAACAACGGGTTTGTAAAGGTTGATCAATCTCAACTTAGATTTATATAGGCAGGAAGGATTAATTTTTCCCAAAGGAATTATGGAATATTGCTAGTAGACATAAGAGATTTAGCTACCTTCATAGTATTTTTTTTGAAACTGTTACTTATTTTGTGGGCTGTTACAATTCTTTCCAGTCATGTTGTTGGACCACGCCATCCTTTTAGGAAGGACCCAGATTTGGATTATGATGTTGACAGTGATGAAGAATGGGAAGAGGTAGTACACCCAGATCTTTTTTATACCTGTAAAATTGTAAAGAAATAGCATCACGAATTGACATTCTCATTTTTCAGGAGGATCCTGGTGAAAGCCTCTCAGATTGTGATAAGGATGATGAAGAGAACTTAGAAGAGGAAGGATGTGCAAAAGCTGAGGATGATGAAGAGAGTGAAGATGGATTTTTTGTCCCCGATGGATATCTCTCAGAAAATGAGGTACGAAACACAGATGCTGAGTTTATCTAATCTTTTGACGGTGGTTGAGAAATGAGATGAAGCATGAATTAAACCAAAATTTCCTCATAAATCCATTATATCATGTTTCCTAAAGTTGAAATCATTGGGAAGTGATATAATAGTATTATATATATGAGAAACGAGATGAAGCATGAATTGAACCAAAATTTCCTCATAAATACATTATATCATGTTTCCTAAAGTTGAAATCATTGGGAAGTGATATAATAATATTATATATATGAGAAACTACTATTTCATTGAGAGAAATGAAAAAATATACAAGGGCATACAAAAGAACAGACCAACCGAAGGATATTTCTAAAGAAAGAGGCTCCGATCCAAAAGAATTAAGCTTAGTTGATAATTGCAAAAGACCTCAGAAACCAATCATTACAAGGATGTTTCTCTCCGGCCAAATTCCCCACAAGATAGAAAAGAAACTGGCAAGCCACAAAAGCCTTCCCCTATCCTTAAAAGGGAGAGACAATAACACCTCTTCCATCATTGCTTGACAATCCCTGGTATGAGTCAAAGAAACCCTAAAACACTTCAAAAAAATCCCATATATCTCAAGCAAACTGACAAGATCACATAATGTGGTCAAGATCCTTTGAGGCACCTTTGCAAAGCACACACCATTGAGGCTCCAATAGGAAAGAACGGYTTTGAATACGATCCAAGGTATTCTCTTCTATGTAAGACCTGGCACCCAAATAAAAAAAAAATTTCTTGAAATTTTGACCTTCTAAAGCAAGGCAAACAACGGGGTAAAAAGGGGAAGAGAGGGAGAACTCAACAGCTGGAATAAAGAACTACAAGGAAACCCCTTGGAGGGGCTGGGGGAACAGACCCGAAAATCCTTCCTCCCCACACAAAAAAGAAAGTTTGACAACACAAGAAGCAATGCAGAAAGTCTGAGATGCATTAGTATTATAGTAGAAATCAATTCAAACCCATCTGTTTCAGTGGGTCTGGTCTGAGGTCCATTAGTTTTGTTTTTTTAATATATTCATAAGAAATTTTATTATCAAGTTAAAGAACATTTCACCTTTGAACTTGCAGGGTGTGCAACTTGATAGAATGGAAACTGACGATGTTGATGAGGTCAGGAGCTTACCTAGTTCTACGCAAGATATGGAGGGCAAGGAACTATGTAGTTTGTTTAAGCAGCAAAAGCATCTTTACAACATGACAGAGCTTGCACTTAGAAAAAATCAGCCACTGGTTGTATTAAATTTATTGCACGAGAAGGACAATTTTCTAATGGCTGAAGATCTTGATGGCACATCTAAGCTAGAGCAGACATGCTTAGCAGCTCTCAGTATGCGCTTGATGCAGGGTCAATGCCCTGTAGAGATATCACTAGACGGAATGCAAGACGAGGATGCTGAAATGTGCCTCCCAAGTGGCAAGGACAGTGGCTCGCAGATCTCAGCATCGCCTATCCTTGACTCAGATATGACTGTAATCGTAAGTTTTGTGCATTCTGAATGGTTAAATATGAACTTCCATGAACTAGTTTTAGAGAAATATATAACAGATTGGATTTTCAGATGCGTCAACCTAACTAGGAGGAAGTGTTGACACACTATATTATCCAGAGTGTTGGTGTCAAAATGTGTTTAGACATATTTATACTTGATGAGAAACTTGGAAATATTTACATGAAAATTACAAAATACATAAACGTAGAAAATTCTATTTCCTTTTCATTATTTTAATGAGAAGTTCATATTTTGTTCGAAAAAAATAGTAGGAGTTAAGAAAAGGAAGATTGATTTAGATAAACCCAAGGAGTTGGTTCCAGAAGATATAATATATGAGATAATGATCGAGATGAAAATTCTTTTTTATGTTTGTTGGATGTAAGTGTTGCATATTTTCTGACTTATTTTATTGTTGAAAAAGTGTTATATCCTCTAAGAAATGGTTGCTTATGACATTTAAAGTTGCATAAAATTAATATTGCACTAATAACTCAAGTATGCATATTTAAGGATTTACACTGTTTTGTGGTGGAAGCGCACTGTTTTAGGTTTAGTTAAGTTTTTGCCTCTTGGTGTTTRTTCTAAAGATTGTTGTAATTATGGCTTGTTGCTAATCTTTATGAATTGAGTCCTTTTTATAATCTCTTTGCCTTTATTTTATTCCCCCTTTTTATACTTCCTCTTTTGGTAATGATATTATCTTGATAGTTGCTTTTTGTACTCCCTATATATATATATATTATGTTGTTTCATGAGATTAAAATGATTCTTATTATGTTTGAGAGAATTGAAATATATAAAAGGATACAAATTTTCTTTTAAGAATATAGTCCGTTGAACTTGTTGTCCATGTCAAGAGTTTTAAACGAACATAGTCTATTGTCTTTCATGTGGAAGTTTTGAAGTTTTATTGATGTGTTGTCACTGTATGTGTACATGTTTCTTAGCCGCAATGTTTTGATTCTTTGTTTTTACACGATCTTTTGTACTCTTAACATTTTGATCCTTGTTAACGGCAATATCTCAATTAACAGGTGTCGACTATTCAGTCCTGCTCACAGAGTATCAACAAGGTGGTTGAGTCATTACAACATAAGTTCCCTAATGTACCAAAGTGTCATTTGCGAAACAAAGTCCGGGAAATATCTGATTTTGTAGAAAACCGATGGCAGGTTGGTGAACTGGTCTAAATTTTTTACGTTTAAGATTTTAAAATTCTGATACATAAATGATTGTGAGAATGTGACTATGTTTAGAGGGTTAAATTACAAGTTGCATACATGGCTCTAAACTTTTAATTTTATATATGATAAGTTCCTATCCAACATCTTTTAAAATTCACAGGCCTTAAGATACAAAATTGAAAAATTGTAAGTTTAGAGGCCTATTAAATACAAAATTAAAAGTTCAGGGACTTAACTTCTTAAAATTTAGGAATCTATTCGATACATTCTTTAAAGTTTAGGAACCAAATTTGTAATTTAACCTATTTAGAGCTATTTCTTGTTTGAGCGTAAGRCAAGCTTTGGCTTGGAGCCAACTTTTAAGAATCTATCGATTATTTTGTTTCAATTTTTTAAAACATATATGGGACATGCAGATTTTTCTGGAGCTAAATTCTTAAGTTGCTTATCCCTGTCCAATATATAACAAAAATTTGACTTTGATTGTGAATGACAATTTTCACTAGCCCTGTGGCATAAATAACTGCACAGTGCACAAGCGGCTTAAAATTTGATTTTTAGCCGTTATCTCAGTGTGTTCATTTTAACTGCCGCTCAGATTGATTCTTTTACTTAGTAATCACAATTGCCATATGCAGGTTAAGAAGGGAATTTTGGAAAAACATGGCGTTTTGGCATCTCCAGGTTTGCATATACATCAAACAGAATTTTGACTCGACTGTTGAGACATAATCATGTGTATTTTACTTTGTATGGATTAACTATTTTTTTTATCTGCAGAAAAAGGTACTGGAAGAACAAAAACTATAGCAGCATTTTTTTCGAAACGTTGCTTGCCACCTGCTGGAAAATGTATTAATCCAAGTGAAACTTCACCTCAATCTTCTATGAAACCAGGTTCAGCTGTCCAAGAACAGAAAACTTGCACGAATCAATAATAGCATCTGATTTTAACCAGGTTTTGTTCAATGTCCCACCGCCTGTTCTTGCATAACAGGCTCATATATCTATGAACTCTTAAATGTTGGATAGTGAATGCACAAATGAAAGAGGATATCCTCCAGCTTGGAAATGTATCTTTTTGTTGGGCCAGCCATGAAGCCTAGTGGTATAGAAAGTCTTGTTGTATAATGTTTTTTTTTTGGTTTGTGGATTCAAAAAGGCAAAATCAGCAATAAGAAGCTGTGTTGTGGATGTGGATCAGTTAGCTTAGCTTCTGTTTTGTTTTGGTGCTGAACAAACTCAACTTGTTGATCGTTAGTGATGTTTATATGATAGAGGGTTGATTGTGTTCTGCATCTTAATTTTGGAGTTCAATTCTATCAATGGTGAAGAAGATTTTGGTCTATTCTTGGGCTGAGTTTGAAATGGCATTTTGCTTAAAGTGCTTTTAGGTAAAACATTTATTTAAAAGAAAACCAATTGAATGCTCCGTCTAGAAGTATTTTTAATGCTTCTACATCTTGTTAGAATTTCTCAATTTTTTTTTTAGTTTTTAATTTTTGAGAAAACATACCATACATGTTTGAAAAAGGAAAACTGTTTTTAGTTTTTAATTTTTGAAAAGGAAAATTACACTAAATGACACTAAGTAACTATGTTTTTATACCAATATCATTAGTTCTTATTATTCACAAAAAAGTTACAAAAGTAAGGAAAAAACTTGGGTTTTTGRATTGAATAATCCTTTTAATGGGCCTACTATGATACATATCTCCATCTAAAAATTTATGTTTTCTAGTCATTTTTTTAYGTCATTTTTGGGTGAAATTATGTGTTTGTCATTGTTTCTATCTTTTTCTCTCCTACTTCCTTCTCATATTTTTCATTTGTTCTCTCTTCCTCATTCTCTTCCAATCTCCCTTTCTCTATCCATCTTTTTCTCAGTACACATTGTGTGAATGATTATTCATTTCTAAAGAAACATAACGAAAATTTCTCATAAATTTACTAAAAAAAATATTTTCTACTTCGGTGATAAAGAATTAGGAGCACTGAGGACACCTATGTGGCTCAATAAATCCCAATATCTCATATGGCTAAGAGAGAACTTTTCAAACATCTATCTAATAAGATTTTCTTTCGCTAGGATTATTTGTTTGAGTTATACTCAACTGTTATTACAACACAACTAAACTACTTTCAACAAAAAACAATCAAGAAAAAAAAAAACATTTTCTTCTCTTTTCATTTCCAAATTCAAAATAGAATCAACAAATTCTCCATCCTAGCCCATCATTCATGATCGTGTTACTTGAGAAACACAAAGAGAGAGAGATGAAACAAAACAATCTGTATTATATTTATATGAATTGAATATGAATATGAATTCTTCCCCCTTCAATAGAATCCCAATTGAAGCCATCAAAAAAAAGAACAAGAAAAACACAACTCTCACACATACAACAAATCAATATCAGTATGAATCAAATTTGAATGAAGAACAAATCAAAAACCCATAATTTGATGCTCTGTTCTACACAGGGAATGGCCCAGCCGCCCAGCTCGATTCCTCATACTGCTGAACTTTGGCGCTCCTCTTCCCGCCATCTTCAACTTGCATATAATACTTCAACCAAAACGCAAGAACAAGAACAATCCACTCCAAGCAGAAGATCACAGCGCTCAATCCGCCCCCAAGTTTCAAAATCACTGCCCCATCCTCCTCCCTCACGTACGATCTCAATTCTCCCAGGAAATCCCCGGTTCGGGTGAAGACGAGCACCGCGACCGAGCCTTGGAAGATGGCGGTGAGCACGGCGAACACCATGTGGACTCCGAACCAGCGTCCGGTGCCGGCCGAGGCGAGGGCGAGGCCCGAGATGGCGCCCGCGATGGTGAAGGCGTGGAGGAAGATGAGGAAGAAGCCGCACACGGAGGGGACGAGGCGGAGCGACAGCGTGAGGAAGATGCAGCTCGAGGCGGCGCCGAGGAGGATGTAGTTGCAGAGGAGGAACAGTTTGTGGATGTTGTAGTGAGCTCTAGAAATCGAGGACGATGGCGATGCCGCGAAATTCGTCGAGATTCCCATCGGATTTCTGCAATTTGGTTGAAGGGATTTTGGGGAATTTGAATTGTTGGTGAGATTGAAGAATGGAATTGGAAGTGATGGTGGAGGGAGTGGGGAGGAAGAAGGGGAAGATTTATAGCTTTCAAGTTCTCAAGGGGGCAACGGTCATTTCATAAATTATGTCTTTTCTTTTTCTTGTTTTCGAATTTTCAATAAGATGGGGTTAACGGCTAGTTTGTGTTTGTGTTTGTGTTTGTCTTTTTCTTTTCTTTTCATTAATTATGGTGCTTTTTTTTTGTTTTTTTTGGTTGACTGCCCTTTGGCAAACGGCTAGTTGCTCCACATCTATGAAATTAAGAGGTTATTACAAATATAAAACCTTCAAAAGTTCTCTCATTTGAATTTGGAAAATACTTGGTGGGGAGCATCTATGCTTAATATTATTATTTTTCAAATATTTGTTTTAGAATTTCTCTCTCGTCGAATATTTAATTATTTAATGGTGGTGGACACAAGATARATTCTCATAAGTTAAGATATGAATACTTCATTTAAATTTTATGAGTAGAGAGAAGCTTTTTTAGRCACCCTAAGGGAGGTGAAATTTACCCTCGGYTCAAGAGAACAATTGTGTCACCCATGAAGCAACTAGACTTTCGCGAAYGAAAATCTATCATGTATGTGCCTCTCCAACAGCCATGGATTTTGCCTTAAACTAGGATCTGGGGCATATGCCCCCTTCGAAGTCGAAGCGTTAATACTTGAGTCATGTCGGATGACTTAGGTCTATTTGCTTTGCTATGCGTTTTTACTTTGTTTTGAAAAAGAAAACACTTTTATTATGAAAATATAAGGTGTGACACATTGAGAGGAGATTTTTATTTTTATTTTTTCCTTTCAAAACTTAGGTATATTTTAAGGTAAAAAGATAGATCTCACAACCTAAGATCAAGGCACAAAACTAACAAAAAAAAAGACCTATCCAAAATGTCGCAAGAGCACAAATAAAAAAACAACATAACTAAAGCAGACAACTGACTTAAGAAAATACCACATACAGCAAAACTGGACGAGAGAAAAAACTAACAGCCCAATTATGAAAACAACTCCCAAGAAGAACCTATATCGATGACTGAGATCTATAACGAAAGCTATCCCGCCAAGTTGTAGCACGGGCATACATATCACTTGAACAATATGTAAAACAACTCGGTGGTTTTTATTTTTTTATTTTTTATTCACCTCCTTTTTTTTTCTAATTGACTGCAAAGTGCAAATGGTATCTCCATTTCACATAATCACAAACATTTGTCTTTTATCTCCTCGTACCTACAAAATAATTTTTTTTTTCACAATCTAAAGATAATTGTTGCTCTTTTTTCAAATGAAATACTACCCTCTACTTTCCATAGTTTAACTAAATTGGAAGGTCCAATTATCTCAAAAAAAAAAAAAAATGGAAGGTCCAAAGCAACCAATCGAGAAGAAACAATGACTAATTTGAAACAAGTGAGTTTGTTTTTTTAGCTATGCTAATTTATAATTTTTTCAATATTTTCATGTTCATTTTTTTCTTCTCAATATGTTCATTTGTCCTTAAATTTTAGTTCCATTAATCACGATTTCTTGCTTTTTTTTTTGTTTCATAAAATCATTTATTTTGTTATTGCATGATTCTTTTTTGTAATTATTAATTGTATTAACTCTTAATAACATTTAACATTAATTGAGGCACGTGAAACATAAAAGATACAAATTTACTTAGACAACTATTTAATAATTTTGAAGTTCATTTGAAATACTTGATTTGAAATTGGATAGACGATTATTAGAATGGAGAATAGTTTGGTGGATGATGGATATAACTTATAAGTTCTATGGAAGAGAAAAAACATCCCAAGAAAAAAAAATTCAGACAACTTTTGACCAATTTCTAGGACTGGATGTATTGTAAATAGCATATAAGCAAATCAAACTTGTAAAATATTTTTGCCTCTCTCATATTCTTTATTGAGAAGTGGAAGCTAAATCTGATTGATCAATTCTAAATTAGTAAAAACTCCAGAATAGTGTAAAAAGAGGTATTTCCAATCAATATTTTGTTTTTCCCAAGGAAACATTTAGCTTTCATTCACTTGATCTTCCATCTTCAATATTTCTATGTAGACTACAAACAAAAGCATTACCCTCTGAACTAAAAACAAGCAACAGCAAAGTAGGAATGAATCTTGGTGATGATTCAAACAAATAAAGGAAAAGCACCATTATGATTTTGTGCCAAAATTACTATAGTTGTTTCCATTAATAAAGAACTTACTAGGCATTCTATTTCGTGTACGACAAAACTTAAAACCCGAACCAATACCGATACTTTTCTTCGAAAGAAATAAGGAGCTGGGTATCACAACTACCAAATACAGCAGCTGAAACAAAGTCTAATCTACATATTTTCTCTTGAGCAATTCGGACTTGAAAATAATACTAAAGTTGAAAATGCTGCAGATCTGTATTCGAACTTCATCAGAGAGGCCTCGTTCAAGTAGTCTAAAACCTTCCTTTGAGACGGTTTCTCTTACATTTGTATTTCTCGACCGAAGATCCAGCTAAATGGAACTCGTTGTGCTTGCTTGGCTCTGCTTTGAGCCCTCTCTTCCAGCCTTCTAATCCTTGGAGGCAACCCACACACGAAATCTTGTGCTTTTCGCCCCTCGCCCGAGAGACCTGTCAAATTCTCTATTTTCCACCTGCTGACGAGGAACTCCAGAATGTCAGCGTAGTCTTTAGCTGTGTAGACCCCAAGCCGCTGAGCAACCGATGAGAAGTGATCAAAAAGGTTGTTGTCCTGGCCATCGAACATCAAATGGGCTGGCATTGAGATTTTTTTCTTCATCATGTCAGCTAAAGCCATAACCGTGCCATCAGGGTCGACCTCGAAAAGCTTCTCCACAATCTTGGTGTAGGCAGTCTCGTGGCGTTTTTCATCGGATGCAATTATACCACATATTTGTGCCAGCTTAAAGTCACCATGCTCCTTGGCTAGCCTGGCAGTGTTACCATGAGAGATGAAAGTTGCTCTCTCTTGAAAAGAGGTGTAGACGAAACCAAGGTATGGATTGTTTTCTGTTTTGGGATCCTAAAAGAGAAAAGAACAGAACAGCAAAACATATTATAATAA